TCCTGGAAAAAATACAGTAAGATTGTGTACATTGTTTAGCGGAGGTTACATAGCTTATTATTATGAATATACATCATGTAATATAATTACTAATGTGTTTTTCTCTGCAGCACACTTGCAGTTAATTTGTTGCCCACTTGCTCACTTCTACAGCAGCCAACCTGCAGGCTGTTTACCTGCTCTGACCACGGTGCCCCAAAATGAGTTTTGCCTGCAAACTGTTTTGATCACTAAGACCTCTAATTTAGAGGCGACTTTAGCCCAGTTCCAACCCTGCTGAAAAAAACCATAGAAACCATTAACCCATTAATGGGTTGATATCACAATGTAAAGGATTCTGATGGTTTAACAGGTGACCAACGGCTGATTCTAAATGGTTTTGATGTTTTCCAAAAGGGATTTAAAAGTATTTTACAGGAAACTAGTGGTCGCTATTGGAAACCATTAAGCCAATTACCATTAGAAAGCAAAAGCATTAGGTTTTATCCTAATGGTTTGCAATGGTCTTTTTTGAGCAGGCAAAATGCTGAAGCCCTACAATCCACCTCAAAGTGGTGCATGCTGAGCCTCCTGTTGTAGTTCATAGTGGGTGTGTGCAGCAAGCAGCAGAATTTACTTTCACTTTGTGTTCTGCCACCTGACCCTAAAAGTATCTATAAAATGCAATGGGTTTAGTGGGGCGTGAGAACTGGTTCAATGGCAGTGTGATGCCAGGCCTGTGCTACTTTTTTGCATGATGATGTGACAGGCGGTTTGGCGGTGCATGTAAAGATCCGGGGCTCAGCCCAGTTCATTGTGGAATTGTTCTGGTATATTGTCCCCTAGAATTTTTTAATTGACCTGTAAAATGTGCAGTTGCCTCCTCTCAAATGTACTGCTAACAGAGGAACATTTTATGAATAGTTTTTAATAGTCCTAATTAACCTCCTGGACCCCCTGAATGTCTCAAAGTTCTGGGGGTCCTTGAAAATAAACTTATTATGATGTTATGCTGTCCATTAGGGTGAAATACACGTTCAAACGCAAATTTAGGGAAAGGTCATTGTTTAGCTGCTGGTTCACCCACAATCAGTGAGCTTCTGTCTTTGGTATTCTTGACTATCTAGTGATCCAGCACTGGTCTGCCTCAGGCTGGTGCTGTAGCTGATTGGTTCACTCAGTTGGTGCTTCATATACTGGCAACTGTAACTATGCTCCCGATATCGCTGAAAAACTTTACAATATGGCTGAGCATTGTAAATCTGAACTCACCAAATATCCCTAGAGATTGATGGAAAGAGTTAATTGTTACTTATTTCCCAAACTGAAGACCAAAGAGAAGATGTGAGTGTGAGATTTCAGTTAATGTGTGGAGGGCCGCATTACCAAACTAGAAAAGAGCATTTCTTGAACCGTTAAACCAAACATTTTGTTGCCATTGAAGCTAGCATCAGCGCTGCTATGGTGAGTGAATTAGCAGCCAGCTAGTGCTGAAGTAGCATGCCAACACGGGACCTCTGAAATACCAGTAGGTATTTCGCACACTGCATGTCCAAATGTTTGTAGACACCTGCTCATTCAACATTTCTTCTGAAATCATGGGTATTAATAGGGAGTTTGTTCCCTCTTTGCTGCAGTAACAGCCTCCACTCTTCTGGTAAAGCTTTATACTAGATGTTGGAACATGGCTGTGAGGATGTGATTGCATTCAGCCACAAGAGCATTAGTGAGGTCAGGTACTGATGTTGTTGGATGATTAGCTCTGGATCACAAACTCCATCCCAAAGGTATTCAGTGGAGCTCCATCGCTCCATCACAACACAGTTCCACTGCTCCACAGCCCAGTGCTGGAGGACTTTATACCCCTCTAGCCGACGCTTGGCGTTGGGCATGGTGATCTTGGGCTCATGTGGCTATTGGCAGAGCTTTTCTATGGAGATTATACAAGCTGAGTGTGTGCAACTGAACATCCATATTAGCAATGGAGCACCTTAATATAGCTGAATTCACTAATTAGAAGGGTGTACAGATACTTTTGGATACTATAAACAAATGGCCTCTTTGAAACTGCTAAATGATTAAAAGGGGCTCCATTTCAACAGTCTATTAAAACATACATACATACATACATCATCTAAACCGCTTATCCTTCTGGGTCGCGGTGGGGTGCTGGAGCCTATCCCAGCTGTCATTGGGCGGAAGGCAGGATACACCCTGGACAGGTCGCCAGTCCATCGCAGGGCAGACAGACATACATACACAGTCACACACACACTCACACCTAGGGGCAATTTTAGCATGTCCAATCGGCCTGACTGCATGTCTTTGGACTGTGGGAGGAAACCGGAGTACCCGGAGGAAACCCACGCAGACACGGGGAGAACATGCAAACTCCACACAGAAATGACCCTGGTCGCCCAGCCGGGAATCGAACCCAGGCCATTCTTGCTGTGAGGCGACAGCGCTACCCACTACGCCACCGTGCCACCCCGTCTATTAAAACAGATGTTCCTTATTAACAACCTGCTAAAATTATCTTTAAATACAAATAGAACATTCAAAGTGTGAAAAACAAAATATATTTCAACGTACACTACATATGAACAGACAGGTGCATAGTACTTTGGCATTCCAACTGTTAATTTCATTAGCAGTCTGCTGGATGTCATGTAAAGTGTTTGCAAGACGCTCTGTGGATCACAAGACACTCACTTGCTTTTGTGCTTTTGGTCTGTCAAACTGAGTGAAATGAAAAAATATGCAGTGTTGTAACAAGAAGACTGAGGAGCAAAATGGGAAATGCTATATGAAATAAGACGAGCGATGACATATGGGAAGTTCAAACAAGACCGCTAACACAGCAGCAATGTTGAGATAGTGTGAAGAAAAGGGAAGGCCTGAGGTTTGGCTTAATGCCACACAAAGTTATAGATCAGTGACATATTTAGGCTGTTAACAACCATCTATGCAGCTGACAGTCTGCACTTGCCACTGCAGAGCTGTGTGTTCTCTCACCTCTCCCACGCCTAGGCAAGTTCACACTGTCCAGTTCATAACCCTCAAGCTCCCTAATGCTGTACTTACAGAGATTATTGATCTGTTGTTACAGGAAATCACTTGGATTTATATTATATCTGCCAATCATTGGCTGTGGCTCACTCAGGGCATATGTGAATTGCATATTTTTCATCTTTAAATGAAAATGGGGTTAAGTTTCAATAAAATAGGTATCCAAGTCAGGAGCTGGTCTGAAGCTAGAATAATTTAAAAGCCCCAGTGGTTTTGTGGTAAAAGCTCCCTGAAACTCCCTCTCAGCAGTAGTGACGTCTTATTTTGAAAATGCCTATTGTAGCGTTTTTGTGAATACTCACGTGAGCAAGTTGGAGAGCAGAGGGGTGAAAGGAGAACAGAATTTGTTAAGCTATTCATTATTTGATCTTGATATTATTCAGTTTGGAATCAAACCAAATTCCCTTTTTGAAGAAAATCCTTGGTCATTCTGTTACTACATTACTTAACAATCCGCTGATCTGCTGCATTAGAAAACAGCATAACATTGCACAGTTACTCTGTAGAGCTATAAACGTTACACTGTAGAGTTACTCATTAGGCATTAGGACATTATTACTCTGGAGGATGAGTAACATCCTTGTACTCAACAAAACATTTGAACCCCCAAGATGCTTGTAAGTAACAGTATTTAGGACGGTTAATACTCTCTTGGGTGTAAACTGGAAAGCCTGATATGGCAATTCACAATTACAGAGCATTGCTGTAATCCAAGCATACAGATTATTATGGGTTTTTATTTACAGAAGTTACAGCTGTTTTTCCAGTAATGTTTTGTTTATGTAGAGCACATATGCACAGTGATGTAACTCCTATTTTCAGAACAATCCTTCAATTACATAAGCCAGTATTCTACTGAAGAAAGCTTACTGTTGAACGGTTGGACTTGTTGTTGAAATATAGCTATTTAAGGCCAACAGTAGGATAAAGCTATTATTTTACAAGAGTGTTAACTGTTTAGCAAACACATTTTATACACAAGACATTATTATAGTTATTATAGTTACATGCACTGATACCAGATTTTAAGACTGCAGAGCTGGCAGTAAGTGTCTGTTTTAATGTGACACTATGCAAATTTAAAAAAGGTGGTTCTTCAATGGTCATTTAGTAAAGGCCATAGTTCTATTTAGAACCAACAATCTATATGCTTAAAGGGATCTTTGCACGGTGAAATGGTCCTGCAAATTTGACAGAAAATGTGCTGTGTATGGTTCTATACAGCACTAAAAAGAGTTTTTTCCATTTGTTACAAGCTTGACATCATAACAAAGAACAACCTATTTTGGTCTTTGATATGAATCTTGATGTGTATCTCCCAAATACCATGTTTTTTTTTTTACCATTTTTACAGCAATATGTTGTATGTAAGGAATACAGTAGATTACTGCAGTACTCCAGCAACAAATTTACAGTTATTTTTATGATATACTATTGTCTGTGAGGTGCCAGTACATACATTTTGCTCATAAAGCATTCACATTGTATTAGAAATGACATCACTTCAAAGACACATAGAAGAAAGTGAATCAAAAAAGAAGCATAAAGAATTTGTTATCTGATAAATTGTTTAATATAAAAGTTTTTTTTTTAATTCATCATACACACAATTATCACTGGAGCATTAGCATTTTTTTTTTTTGGCCTCTTGAGACAAGCTGGAGTTTTCCATTACGTGTCAAGTTTGGCCTACTTGTGACCGTTAAAACCACAAGATGATAGACATAGACTTCTCAGCACAGCACACAACACCACAAAGTTCTTCTGACTTCCTCTTTCTACAGAAACCCTACAGAAGTACCATTTTACATTTTGAAACATGGCAGACACGTATGTTGACACAGCAAATAAATCTGTTAAAAATATAAATATATAAAATTTATATATATATATATATATATATATATATATATATATATATATATATACTTTTTTTTAATACTTTTTTTTTTTACTTTTTGGTGGTTTTAGACTTAGTCAATATCACAATTTTACTATAGAAAAAGACAACATTAAATAGCTGCTGCAGTTCAAAGTGATAGTTTTCTGTACATCAGTGATTGTGATGTCATCTATTGAAATAAAAACAAGCATTGAAGGTATGTAAATTAGTTAATCTATAGCTGTATAGTTGCTACGTTCACAACAATAGTAATGACACTCGAAGCTTTAAAATACTGTTGTCTGAAGGATAGTCTAACAGGAGACTATGATCATAAACAAGCCTTCAAATGTGCTGTGCAAAATTACAGTAAATGAGAATATAAATTACATCATAAGTAACTAAAAGTGCTTTTTTTCAGTTGGTAACAAGCAGTAGAATTTCTATGCAACCTGTACACATTTTACCAATAGATTCTTGCTCCATCTTGCAAACTTACATGCACTGTTGTTTCCTGTTTTTCCTCCATTACCAACATTGTCACTACATTACACTGATCATATTATGATGCATCCTAGTTAACATGTTTTCCAGTGGATGACAACTGCTAGAATATGGTGAAGACATCACTTGTGATTAGTTAGGCACTGTCCCCTTCACCTGCTGTTGGTTCTGGAAAGGGCTTGAGTGGATTATTCTCAGCCCATAGACAGTCTTTCTGCTTTTTTGAAGCTGACTTTGTCTTCTGGACCATTAACAGTAGAAGTACAATGACCACAAGCAGAATGAAAAGCAGAGGAGTGAGGATGCCCAGGATCATTCCGGAAGAGCAGACTTCACTAGGAGCAGCTAAGATACAAAGTAAAAGTCAGTATTATTTTACTACGAATGGATTATCTCGTAAAGTATGAATAACATTTTAAATGTGTGAGAATGCAGCATTACCTTCAACATGGACATGGACCGAAAGTTCTCCTGATTTGTCTTTAGCTACCTCCCTCCAGGTATTAGTGGCAGTCTGCAGCCATTCCACAACCTGACACTGGTACCAGCCATTGTCAGAGGGCTCAACATCTGGTACAGTCAGTAAGTAGAGGTTTGCGCTCGGATGCTCATATACCAGATTTCTATCTCTGAAAGCACTGTGTAGTGTCCCATCCCGCATCACCCTGAAGAAGGTCATAGGAGGGTCTTTTTCTTGACTCTTGGACCAGATCACTTCAAATACAGACTTATCACTGGAGTGAGAGATGATTTGACACTCAACCGTGAGAGCAGCATGATGGGCAGTAAGGTTGAGACTGTGACTCTCTTTCCTTACTTGTAGTTTACTCTCTGTGAGGAAGTAGAAGAACATTAGTCTTCTCTGTCAGATGGAACTCAAAACATTAATCTTAGACTGTACATTACAGGTTTCCAACCCTGGTCCTGGAGTTCCTTCAGTTTTGCACATTTTAGTGTTTTTCTGCTCACCCACTTCAACTCAGGAGAGACTGAATGAGCTGATTAGTTTGAACAGGGAAAGCACTAAAATGTACAGGAAAGTGGGTAGTTCAGGACCAGGGCTGGAAATCACTGCTGTAAGTAGAGCAGATCCAATGTTAAAGTTCTTTAAAACAAGCAGATATGAGTAAATAAGAAACGTGAGTCTAGAGGGATGGACTGAAGTAATGTAAAGAAATGAAAGAATAGGAATAAAGCATACATTACCAATACTGCGTACAGTGACACTGGTTGAAATAAATTGGGCAGGTCCTTTACTTTCCCATGTGCCCCCACAACCAAGCTGGTGTTGTTCTACCATGCACTGGTAGGTTCCGCTGTCTGTTGGAAGTGAGTTGAAGACAGTGAGATGAAAATTGGTCACAGTAGACCTGGAGGACTGTAGTCTGCTGTTAAGTTGTTGGTCCTCTGATTGGTACTGCAGACGGCCATCCTTGCTGTGTTTCAGCAAACTGGTCCTGGTTTCCTGCTTCACCAACAGCCAGGTGACAGTGTAGTGGAAAGTGGGATCTGCTTTATCAACAAGAATGGAGCAATTAAGGACAAACCGCTCTCCCTCTGTGAGGTTAAGATGCGAATTAGGTTTTTCCAAAACAAATGTCCCTGTACTTGGCTTTTTCTCTGACTCTACATGGACGAAAAGTTCTCCTGATTTGTCTTTGGCTACCTCCCTCCAGGTATCAGTCTGCAGCCATTCCACGACCTGACACTGATACCGACCATTGTCAGAGGGCTCAACATCTGGCAAAGTGAGTCTATACAGGGTGGCAAGCGGGCGGCTATAAAGCAAGTTTCTATCACTAAAAGCGTCGGATAGAGTTCCATCTCGTCTTGCAGTGAAGATGGTCGTGGGTTGTCCGTCTTCCTGACTCTTGGTCCAGGTCACTTCAAAATGAGACTTGTCACTGGACCGAGAGCTTATTTCACACTCAACTGTGAAGCCAGCACGATAATCAGTGACGTTGAGACTGCGGCTCACTTTCTTTACTTGTAGTTTGTTTTCTGTTTCAAAAACACAAAAACAAAGTGGATCCTTCATTTATGCCATCTATATTATCTTAAAAATATTATGGTACATTGAATCTAGCATGATGAGGGAACCTACCTATTAAGAGTACATTGACATTGGTAAAACCAGACTTGTCGCCTGCCTTAAATTCCCATTTGCCCTTACAATCAAGCTGATACTGATCTACCTGACAGCGGTAGCGCCCAGTGTCAGATGAGATGGAATTCAGGATGGACAGACGGAAGTCACTGACTGTGGGCCGTGAGAAATAAAGCCTGCGTTGAAGCTTTGGGTCATCACTCGAAAACTGCAAACGCCCATCATGGCTGTAAGTCAGAAGTGGTACCATAGGCGCTTTCTGATCTTGTCGCTCAAAGGACCAGATCAGAGAGTAGCGAAATGTTGAATCCAGTCCATTGGTATGCAGTAAGCAGCTCAAATCCACCTGCTGTCCTTCTGTGACCACCAGCTGAGCATCAGACTTATTTAGGCTGAAATCACTAGCTGAAGGATAAATGACAACATGCCAACATAAGACAGTTGAAACAAAGGCAAAAACTTTGTACTTAATCAAAGAACATTAATAAAGAACAGTTGTGGCCCCAAATTAAGAGCTCTTATTTATGATAGTTGATGTGATAGCTGATTAATTTATTTGTAAAATAACAGGCAGCAATGTAATTTGCAGAAAATTTAAGTACTAGGAAAAATAAGAAACTTGTGAAGTCTTATGTCAGAACTCATACATTAAAAATTATGATGAAGATGTCAATTTAAAGCACACAAATGTACTAATAAAGGTTAAGCATAAACTTAGTGGTCCCACTATAATGTTTGTGTTTCCTTTTAATGAATGACTACTTAGCCAGCACGTAAGTTTTCATCAACATATTTTTATGTGTATTTTGGCATATAGAATAAAAAAAGTTGATGGATGAAATTTCGCATAAAATATGGTTACTTGAGTTGGATACATTTTCAGCCACTAAAAAAATAAATAAATAACCATAAATGCAAATTAAAAAGTCGCTTGACTGATCAGTTGGTTCTGTCTGCGTTGGAAACAGATCACAGGAACCAAATATGACAAGGCAGCTGGCACTGGTGGCCTGATGAAGAACTTACTTGTGTGTGTGTGTGTGTGTGTGTGTGTGTGTGTGTGTGCTTAGTGACCACTATATTGGTTACACAGGATGGTAATAATTGAGTAACAGCCTTGCATCATAAGAACTGAGTAACAGCTATGCAGCTTGAGCTTGAAGTCAAATTAACAGAGAACAGAGAGATATGCTTCTGAATTTAACAGCTCCTGCCTTTCATTCGAGTTTACTAAATTACATGCATATTTACAGTGATTCACTTTTGCTACTTTGCTTTCTTGCCATTCTCCTTTGACTCATATGATCCACAAAGCTGTTATCATCCACAGGATTGCCAGTCACTGACATTTATTTTAAATTTTTTTCTTGCTTTCAATAAAAAAAACCTTATAAACCTTATGCGTAAAAAGACCAGAATGTTAGCCATTTGGGTGGCACGCCTAGCACGAACTGTTATGCTACATTCAACTGAACACTAACCGATGCTACAAACTCTGGTTTGCCTGATTTATACCCCACACAAGTCACGTCATGTAAGATTTAAGTTAAAATGTACAGCTTGTTTAAGGTGCACCTTATAAACTGGCAACTCTTATTGTATTGCTGTGTGGCACACAGGTTTGGTGGCAAATGCTGTGAGTGCCACAGGCATCTTTGACAGGACTGTACCTGACAGGAATAAATTGTCTTTCTAAAATGTTAAGTTTACACAAGAAGGCAAATTTATTTTTAACTTCTAATGTGAGTCAATATAACAAAAATCTTGGACCATTTTTACTGATCTATTCATGAAGAAGTGTTCAAACAATCTCAAGGACAACTATGATGTAGGAAAATATGAAAGGAACTATGTGCAGTCAGCTCCCAGTTTCACTGATCACTGTAATTGTATTGAAAATAATCCAAACTGCTTTTTAGTCCAAAAGCATGCCTTTTATCACTAACATTACAAAAACATTGTCAGCATCAATGTTATGGGCAACATACCTTGTTCATTCACAACAAGATCCATGGTGACAGATTTTGGATGAAGTGGATACCAGATGCCATCAGGATCTTGAATCCATTCCTCTACCAAACATTTATACTGGCCACGGTCAGTTGACCTGACCTCTTGAATGGCCAGTTGGAAGGTTCGCCTCTCAATCATTTGCATGTTGATCCTCTGGTTTATCTCCTTGCTGGCTGCAGGTCCCAGAGTGACCACCCCTTCCGAATCCATTTTCACCAAAGTCTGGGCATCAAATATCCATGTTACCGCAAAACGGGATGAATTAGAGACTGCTTTGTCCACCAAGCAATCAATTTTTGCATTACTCTTGATTGGGATGTCCAAATAAGCCTTGGGGCTTATGGAGAGCGACAGTTTGCTGACTGCATTGGGAAAAGGGAGAGAAGAACAGGGCTGGATTCCATTGATGCTGGAAATACTAGATATACTTGTTTACTAACAAACTGAAAATTTAGGTCTAGGTTTAGCATGAAAAATGAAAATGAGCCATTTAGAGAACCTGAAAGCTTTGCATGCAACTTACCAGGAGCATGTACAGAGACTGCAAGATCATTGGAGTGTTTTTGGGCTTTCTGAACACTTTCTTGATAAGCTGTGATCTGGCACTGGTAAGTGCCCTGTTGTTTTCTGCTCGCCTTTAATATCCTGAGATAGAAAACTGTGATTGTATCCTGCACTTGAGCTTCCAGCTGATAATCCTTTTGCTCTCTTCCACAGGATATGGCCCCATTGCGGAGCATACATATAATGTCTTTTTGAGCGTCTGAACCAGATTTGAACTTCCAGTGCACATCTAAGGGAACTTTAGGTCCTTTTACTGTGCAAATCATAGTTATTAGTGAATTCTCAGTTACATTTGTGTCACGACTTCTCAGGGACACTTTTAGAGAAGAATCTAAAAAAAAAGAATAAATAAATAAATAAATAAATAAATAAATAAATAAAACAGTAATCAAAGTTTTAAAAAAATGAATCATTCAAATATGAAAGTGATCAATGATGCATACAATCTTAAAAAAGGTAACATAAAGAGTTCTTTGAAGCGCTGCCTTTTGGTATTTTTCATAAAAGAATATATAAATGAATGGTTTTTTAAAGGAATCATATTTATAAATGTGGATGTGAAGGACCAAAAGAACCTCATAAAGGTTCTATACCAATAAAATGTTTTTTTTTTTTTTCTTACAACCATGTGTCCTGCCAAGAACCATTAGGAAGCTTGATTTTAAGAAGGTAGGCGACAGGTGAGCAGGTAGTGCTATTCAGATATGTTGAAATGCTTGCTAACCAAGGTATTATTCAACCATTCAACAAAGTTACTTAGGTTTTCCTGCAATTTTGCAGAGCATTAAAAGATCAGAAATCTGTAGTTACCATCAAATGAGAATAACAGATTGATGCTTGTCTGCTGACTTCTACATGCACATTTCGTTATATATTTTCCCAATGTTGGGTGTGCACCATGGTAAAGGATGACTGGGCCAGCTTAAATAATTGTATACAAAAGTTTCAACCTATGTTATTGATAAAGGTGCAATCTGTCATTCGGCAGAAGGGAAAATCTCTCTGTATATTGACTTATTTTTCTTCTACACATTCTGTTACCCCAATTTCCCTCTTTCACCTTCCCATAGAAATAAATATATGAACAATGACTGGTCTTACCAATGGATTCAACAGAAACCAAGGCTGACTGGCTGTTTATGCTGCCATTGCGGTCCATGTTCCACTCAGACACAGTGCACTTGTATTCACCACTGTCAGACAGGACAGCACCACTGATCTCCAAAGTGAAGTCAGTAGCAGTGGAACGAAATGTGCGAACAATTCTGTCCTGATACTGAGCCCCCGGCCCTCTCACCATCACCCCCTCATGATTCATGCTGATGACATCCCTGAAAGGGCTGCTTGTAGATTTCCTGTGTTGCCAGGAGACAGATAGTGGTCCACTTGCTTTAGACACACTGCAGGTGAGCTTTAGTGTTTTTCCTTCAGTCATGTTAATGAGCTTCTCTGCCATCACCACAGCCAGACCACTCTCTTTATAGGAGGGAGTCAAAGTACAGGATATATTAGTTCTTGTTGTTTCAGACTTTAAAGCATAGTTTTCTTCAAGTATATTACTGTGTCTGTTGCTTCAAACATCCAGGGGCTTTCAGGAAATATTTTCACAATTTAGATCATCACCTTAGGAAAACACTACGGCAACTTTTCAGGAGAAGGAAAAGGCGCTCATAGCTGTTATGTGAGTTAAATACTTGGCATTTTGGGCCGTTTCTTTGGATCCATTTGTCATGAAACCAGACATAATGTAAAGGACAGCTGGCAGGGATGCAGGAAGGTGATTTAAGTTGGGGATGCTGAAATTTTAAGCAGTATAAACATGACGTGAATAGTGGCATCCAATCAGATTATGTGTGGCACGGTAAGCAATTGTGTCCTGGGTTTTCGGATGATAACAAATGATAACCCAGTGTCACTGACAAAATACTATTGATGGCTGGATACTGAATACACTGTCCTAACTATGTTCAGTGACTTCAGCAACATATTTCATTACAATGCATAATATAATAACATATTCAGAATACATTTAGAACACACAGGCACATTGGGAAAAACTTTGTTGTTGTAATTTTTATGTAATTCACACTGAGAGAGACTAGTGAGAGACTATTCAGTTTGATCATCTTCAAAAGGAGTTTAATAATGCTGAGATTAATTACTGGCTCATCAAATTGATTTAGCAGTCTACTCAGGCTTTAGAAGGAACTTCAGTATTTTAAAATAGTTAATAATATCAAGCACTGATGGTGTTTCTTTATTTAGTGGGTAAGTATTCTAAAAGTATTCTTCTAAAAATCTCCTAAAACTGTATTCTGAATAGTTTTTTTTCAAAATCTAACTGAATACAGATACTTAATTTCCATATTCTGAATATGTATTCCCAATACTTGTATTCCATTACATCGCAGCCCTGGATGTAAAGCACTGCTATTATGAAGCATCAAAAGCTATTTGACTGTGAATGTGAATTCAGACTGCTATATGTGAGTGGGAGAGAGAGTGAGAGAGGTGCTTCACATCTAAAAATTCATATGAGGTTTTCATATGGCAGCAACAATATGTAATCTTTGTAAATTACACTTCTGTACAATATTATACAAATATTGAGCAGTGTTGATTTCAATTTATATAGAACATTTAAAGATAATGATAATATCTGACCTTTGGCTTCGATGTGCACAGTCTTTTCACTGGAAAGTTGGCTTTGTCCTCTAGTAAACTTTCCTGTCTCCACTCTCTCCTCTTGTGTAGCTTTGCACTGGTACTGGCCATGGTCTTCAGCCCTGACTGGTCGGATGGTGAGGACATAAGCATTATCACTTATCTTCACTGCTGTCAGTTCACCCTTATTCTCTCTTTCCTTGTACTCATTAGCTACGGTCAGTACACCAGAGGGCCCAATCTGGGCCACTTCCATGCTGTTTCTCAGCCAGGTGATGGAGAAGAAACGTCCTAGAAGATTCTGGGCCTGCACACTGCAGCGGATCACTGCCTTCTCTCCCTCCTGAAGAGTTTCACTGACGTCAATGGCAGCAATGAAGGAGCCCACTTCAATGACCTCTGACACACAGAAAACATGGAGATACAGAATTCAGGTAAGATCTCCAAAAGTATATGTAATTTTAAGAATGGGTTAATTGACATAATTAACACGATGAACATTGTGTCCAGGGCATACTTTAAACATGTAACAGTTCCTCTCAGTACATCAGTCTCAGTCAAACTGAGTTTCTTCGATGCATTCAAGTTCCCAGATTATCATAAACTCCATCTCAAAAATGTTCATTTCAACATTGATTGCATGTGTTGACTGCACACTGATTAATTGATGTCTCTTGTTGTTGTCACATTTTTTCTGGCAATACACATATGTCGGCTCCTTTGGCTGCAAATTTGTATATAAATGCTTAGTGGTATAAAAAAGGAATAGTTTGTTTTTCCACAAAAAAGAAAAAAAAACAGAACAAAAATAAAACAATATATTTTCCCACATTCAATTTTGTCTTCTTTTGAGTGCTTCAGAAGTAAGATACTTATTTCACAAAACTACCTTCCATGGACATCCACAGGATATTCATCCATTTTTAAGTTCAAAATGTTATCTTTCTGTGACATCACATTCTGATTATGCGAACAAATAAGATTTAACCATTTTTTATTTATCTGTTAACCTGACATAGTATTTAATGTTCAGTTATGTCCCACTTTATGAAGGTATCTGTTGCCATTAGTGTTTTTTTGTGTCAACTCCTTAAATAATAGTAATATCTTCCCATCTGTACAGCTCACAAAAGTATCATGGATTTGTCACTCAACTGGCAGTCTACAGACACTGGGCCCCATTCAACACCCTTCTTAAAAACTCACACAGTTTTCACAAGATTCTGACATTCACCAGTGTTTTCTTAACTACACACACTCAAGAGCACAAAGGTGCGAACCATTCCACAGTTTAAGAACACATCATCAACCTGGAGTCAAATTTTTTAGGAGCTTTCTCAAGAACTTCAGAAAAAACTTAGGAAGATGTTGGTGAATTAGGCCCATTTTCTAAACCAGATATAATGCTGGGTTAAAGAGTGTGGGAGTACTCACAAAAGTATGACTTTATTGAAAAATGTTTAGGTCTGTTTATCTCTGAGAAAGAGATGAGTCTATTTGGGAAATGCAGTCTTGAACACTTACCTAGAGCTTTGATCTCCACATTGGAACCTGTGGTATTCTTGTAGGCAATCCGTATCCAGGAGCGGTCTGGGTCCTGGATCCATTCCTCAGCCTGGCAGTAGATCTCTCCTCTGGCTGACTGCTGGACCTGACTCATCTTCAGTCTATAGGTGGTGTCTTCTACTTTCTCTATGCTGATGAGCCCTGAGTGGTACTGTTTTTCAAACGCTGCTCCAGGCCTCACAGTCAGATCCCGGTCCAGGGTGATGATGGGGAGGGTCTCAGTGTTACCACGGAGATACCACGTGACTGACAAATGAGTGTGCTGCATGGTCTGGCTAGAGACTTCACATTCAAGCTGAAGTGATTCACCCTCAGAGATGCTATAAGATGCAGGGCTAGAGAAGGATGCCTTCAGAGTGTCCTCGATCACTGTTGGAGACAAGCAAGCCATCTTTAAAATGTCTCTTATTTTCTCTATTTTATCTTACAGCAAAGAAATCAGAGTTTTGTAGACATCCAGTTTAAAGTCTAGTGCATTTTACTACAGAAAGATAAGTAAAATCTCTATAATATCTAGAAAAGATAAGTCCATAAAACAAAAATGTATTAATGATTTGATCTTATTCAAGAAAATCATCTTTGAGAAAGAGAACAAAAACAATCATTACCATTCAGTGTTGTTTTTCCGTTGTAGGTTCCCATATAAGTGTCATAGATGTTTGGAGTATAACATTCAAATACGCCAGCATCGTCTGCTTGCAGAAGTTTCAAATGCAGGATAACTGAGGTCTTTGACAGCCTTTTAATCTCAATACTTTTCTCAATCACTCTGTCTCTGTACACTCTATAAGCATAATGTGGGTCAAATGTGCTAATCATCCTGATTTCCTTTTCTGGATAATCTGGTTTATAGACTGAAAATGCAAAGCCTTGGTCAGCCTGCCCACTATAGCCACTAACATTACAGGAGATGGACATTGGATATCCTTTCACACGATACAATGGACCTTCCTGGATCTGCACCAGATGTTCACCTCTGCAAATATCTGTAAAGAAAAGATTCACTTTTTTAGCAAAGGCAGTCACTGATAGCCAAAGTTAAACACTGTCATCAACAATTATTATGATGATGTAAATAATTATTATCTCAGACATATTAGAGGTCTGAGATACAACACTAAAACTGTTTTGTGTCTGCAAGCTATAGATCAGTGAAATTACTTTCACTAAAATACTGTTAAATAAATTATGCTCGATATTTTATGTCAATTTGATTTCTACTGAGCCTATAAATGTCTTGTTGTTCCTTGACAAGCAATACAAAAAAACAAACAAAAAAAAAAACTCCACTCCATTTTTAAGTACAGTAAAGTGACTTTCTGCATTGACTGTATGGGACGTTGATTTCTGTGGACTGTAACCACTATGAGAATTAATCTATTGTCTGCAAATTACATCACATTGGCGATCATAGGGGTCCTAAATTAACTGAATCATTCTCTGGCAGGGGAACCTTATCCTGGTCCAGAAGAGCTACTACCCAGCAGAGTTTAACTCCAGCCCTTATCTAACTCATCTGATCTGTTAATGAAGGCCTTCAGAGGCCTCTGTTCTACAGCAATTACGTGTTTCTCTGTATTTAAATTCAGAGTGCACCATAAGGCTTAATTTTTATGATTTTAAAAAAGAAAATTTCTCTGGAGGATCAAGCCTCTACAAGGAGTTGATTTCTAAACAATGTTTTACTGTTTATAAAAGTTTGCAAGTTTCTGTTTGGTTGTAAAATTGCTGGTGCTGAATGGAAAACATACTGAATAATAAATGTGTATGTGAATAATATATGTATATATTTGGATAATATATATAAATGTATTTAGATATGAGATAATTACAGAGCTCTCTGAATTTAAAGGCATTTATTTGGACTTGAGCAGGAACTGTGGCAGCATTATGTGGCCCCATATAAAAAAATATATCCTAGCATCGCCAACGTCTAAACAACAAAACAACATTTCCAGATGTTCATTAGCACAGGCAATGATTATTATATATACAACTGTGGCAACAGCCACCTTGAAACTATTAAGGAACTTTACACTTTAAACACGTTGTAAAAAATATATTTATTGTTGTAACTTAAATAAGTAACTAGACTGCTTTAAAAATTTTCATTCATTGAACTCGTAATGGTAACTGAGCCAAACAACAATCTGTGTTAAATTCTATTTTTTATTCTCTTTTTATGTATTATCTGAAATTCAGTCAATATAAAAAAAGAAGAAAAAAAATGAGGCCGCCTTAGTTAATTTTAAATTTCGAATTAAACACTGCATCATTTTTACAGTGTAACCTCAGAAAGATGTTTGTGTTATATATGTAACAATGACTAATTTATAGCAGCAAGTCATCACTGTCCAAAGGAAAACATGCATCTCCGAAATAGTAACTTTACAGGAGAAGGCAAAAACGCTCTCCTTCAAGGGAGAGCTTTAATTTAATGCAAGTTAACGGAAAGGAATTTTATTCCAAGTATATATATTAACATTATATATATTCCAAGTATATATATTAACATTATATATATATTAACATTATTTGAAAGTGGTAGCTGCCCTTACACTGTGTGAAAATTATATATAATTATAATTATAATTAATAATTATTATTTTTAATTTATTATTATTAATTATATATATATATAGGACATCCAAACACATAATAAGCAGTTGTCCATAAGTCAGATATACTATACTGACAGAGGTTGAATAAGGTATGAGCTCACCACTCAGCAGGAGTCCTGCGAGGCACATCAGCAGAGGCAGCTGCCACAGCTGGAGCTGAAGGACCATCCTAAACCTGACTGACCTGCACAGAGTCCGTTGGCCTCCAGTATACAAGACTATTTACCCCAAGATTTCTGCTAAATGCAACTCAGTGTCCTCAGACCTAAGCATAAGTGAAGACATGCATCGTTCGATCAATCCTGTGACATTTCACGTAGACTCATAGACTAAGAGGAAATGAGAAAGGCATGTGGATTTCCTGTCAACTCATGCTCTCACGTCTCACCTGCCACCATGCCGGTTTAGTCTATTGCAAAGAATCTTTACACACAAAAAAAATTCAACTTGTTATTCAGGCTCCACAGCTTACACAGAGCATTAAAAAAACAAAATCAGGACAGAAGAAATGGTTAGAAGATCGGTTGCTTGCTTTCTGTCATATCATACCCCTCAGCAATTTCTAGCCTCGCTAAACTATACAGAACACATTATTATGCAGAGCAGTGAGACGTGTTCATTGGAATCCGGTTGTGGCTTGTGGTTTTCATCATGCGCATCTGGTTAACACTTAAAATCTTTGATTGTCATACAGATACAAACTCACACAGTTTCTAATTCACCCTTTAGCGCTGCAAAGTCACTGCACTTAATATGTCAGGGAAGCACAATAGGCCCTTTTAGACCCTACAGGTGTTTAAATCCCTTAGAGAATATCCAATAGCCCACTGTTCCAAGAAATGGCAATTTCGCCATCTAGTGGTTTCTACTGCAGACACATGACTTTGTTGTGATTGTCCATCAATTACGCCTGCTTTCAACAAAACATAATCTAAATGGCATCAGTATAGCAGTGTTTGGGTTTGCTTATCTGTTTGGGCCTTTGTGACTATGTACCTACATAGACTATGTATACATTCAAAAGTTTGGAATCAATGTTTATAATAATATGGATCCAATCGGAGAAAGAATTATTGAAAGATAAGACAGTCCTGTGCAGCTTCACATGTTTCGAATAATTAATAGGACTAGGAAGCTGTAAATAAAAATGAAGTTGTTTTAAACATCTCCGGAAAGATGAACAGAGTTGTTGAACAAAGCTGAATGGCATTGAGAATGAAGTTATAATTAAATTGACACAGAAGTAATAATATTTCAAAAGGGCAGGAAGTATTTTTTACATTTATTTAATAAAAATAGAATAAAAAAATAATGTTAATACTTTTGTTCACTTTTTGTTGTCACAAATAACAGCATGACTGTGATTTGGTCAAAGGAGATCATCACAGTTATGATATTTGTAAAAAACACGACTTTGATTTGCTTTAATATAGGTAAGTAGTAGCCTTTTTTGTTATAGAGCTATAAAACTGTCACAATATCAGGTTCAGCTCGGCTTTTTCAATTCTTGCCAGATTGTCATCAATATAATTTTGTTCAAGCCAGTCTGCGAAGCATTTTACTGCCAATCTTGTTTGCTGACTTGTATTCTGTTTGTTTGTGGCTAATTACAGTTTGTTTAGCATTAGCTGTTCTGCCGTTGGAGCTGCTGAATCTGCAGAATCTGACCAAACGGGCTTTAGATCAAATACAAAAGTTTGTGGAAGAGTCCATTTTCTGTTTTTTAAGTGCTAAAGAAGAAACTTAGTGATGGTTAGCTGCAGTATAAAGCAGTTAACTAGCACCCGGTTCACAGGGAAATGATACTGTCATTGTAAAAGAAAAAAAAAAAGCACAGGTAGAAAACGTCTCAACTGATCATACTGTGCTGTTGAGACTAACAGTCGTATAATAATGTATGTAAAATAAAACGTGTTAATATAGCAAAGCTCTAAACAGCTGTGTATGTTTTAGCACCTTTTAATGGTGGGCCCTCATTTGCTTCTTTGCATGTGTCTGCTGTTTTGATGATGACAGAAGCTACAGGAAGAGCTTTGAAAGTTGATCTGATGTTAACAAAGTCTCAATTGTTTTGACAACATAATTAAACACCATATATGACCGTAAACCCAGACCACAAGAACCACAAGAGCCAAGCTGAGATGGCTGTAAACTGAAGTGAACGGAAACAGCAGAGAAACAAATGAACCACAACTGAAGTTTTTGTCCTGTGGTTTTGTTTAACGTAACAGCAGTCAGGATGTAACGTCTCATGTACGGCAGACTGTCCATGTATTATGAAAAGACCATTTAATCTGCTCCATCTGACAAAGTACAAAAGTGGTCCCAGAGTTTGGGCCATGGTTGATGACATATTAAAGATAGGAGGTCTTAAACTCACTCAAACGCAAAGATCTCTCTTGTTTCTGATTCCTGAGGCCAGCCATGCAAAGCGCAGAGAAACAGAGGCTTGAAGGCGTCTGCCTGTCTGCAGCTATTCGATCCACGAGTTGACCAGCATCTTGAATAGAGCTAGAATGCAGCATCAGCCTTTTTAGGTGGGAACCACATTGGCCTGGACTGCCTTCCACAGCATGGAGAATAGCTAAACATACAGAGACAAAATTCCCCAATAATGTGCTGTGTAATTGAAACACTACTCCACTGAACCCAAAAGAAAAGAGTCAGCTTTTCCTAAACTTCAAGCCGTCCTCTTGTGGTTTAACAGCTCTATTACTTTACCCCGGCAATTTATCATGTCATCAGAGCATAGTACAGGAACATGTACTAGAGAAACCCCATTGATAAGTGCTCATATGAAGCGTTTATGGATTTTTGTTTAATTTCCGAAACTGTGGTTTTAACATGGTCAGGGGCCCTATGACAACATCACAACCACAGGCATGTTTATGCTCTGTAAGCTCTAAACTAAACAGAGACTCTATGTTGGTACAGCAATTTAGCAGAGAAAAAGGAAAGTGAAAAGAAGGTGAAGAGAACTGGGCTAAAAGGAAAGCAAGACAAAGTCAAAACACACCTTATCTTGCTATAATCTTCAAGCAATAAAGAGTTGTGAAACAGGCTCCCATTGCAGTGAAACTAATAATTGCCAGGCAAGACAGCAGTGCACCTCCAGTGCCTGACCAAGGCTAACCTTAATAAGATCTAGCCAGCTTAATCATACTGCTCGAGCCCCTGCTCATTTTCACATTAAAATGAAGCAAAGACGCTTATCTGATTCTATTATTCTGTTTTTTTCTCTGCTTGCAATTTCACCAAGCAAACATAGCCAGAAGGAGCCCCCTTGTGGACGAATATATCATTTTACCTTGAAAGATGACACTGCAGGTGTTTAAAACAAGAGATTTCCCACCAATCATCCATCAAGTTCCATGTTCCTGAAAAAGAGAAGAGTATGACAGACTGCTTTTTCAAGTCTGTCAGGGTGAATTTCCCAAAGCTGTTTTAGCAGAATGGTCACAGTTAGGTGGCAGAGAACCATCATGAATGCCATCCAATATGCAAACTAAACCAGCAAACTTAGTTCCTTATATGCATTTGAATATTAGAGATAAGTGTGTCGGATGAAAGTTACAGCAGAATTCTTCAAGGCATCCTGTCTTCTTCCCAGGAGCAGAGTTGGGCGTTCTAGCTCTAATTGATAAGGACATTATCTTGATGCACACTATCTTGACACTATTGCTGGGCAGTACTGATAAATTCTGTATCACAAACTTGTTTAATGATATTTACATTTATGTTAATGAAGCCATGCTTGAGTACTGCAACTTTATGTTTGACAGTTTGCCATCATTGAACTGTTGCATTTAGAATTAGAGGAAACAAAATATTGTAAGCTGTCACATTAACACTGAGGAAATCTACTAGTTATCAAAGTTTTTTTTATGTATTTGGAACTGTTCATTTAAAATAAAAGCACTCAACACATGACACACTACAGCTAAAGAGGAAAACATCATAACTCAGTCACTCAGATGTAAACAAAGACATTCAAATCAGGTTTAATGTGAAATGTTGCATTGTAGAGAAACTTTTCAACTAATTTATTTACAGTGTTGGCTGTGAACCAGGGGTCACAGTGTCAACAATGCAAATTTTGCCATTTTATTTACCATGCAAAATGACCAGTGAAGCTACACGTCTTCTGAGCTGTTGACAATAGTAGAGGTAAATAAATAAAGTTTTTTTTTTTGGATATAAAAGGGTTTTGGACATTATTTTGCCTTGCAATGCACGTACCGTACCGTACATGTTATGAATAGATTTTTAAAAATACAAACAACAAAAAGAGGCCAAAACCTCATCTTAAAACTACTGTAAAACAATGTGTGTAAAACATCAGGCGATGAATACATAACCATTTCATGCAATAGCTTACTGTGATGTAATTTTAAGAGCAGTTCAGAAGTTCAAACATCTGGTTCCTATCGCCGCTGCCGTGAGCAATTCTGACTCTGGAAGTTTCTCTAGAACTGAGCATTACACATGAGACCACTCTGAATGACTTTGTTTTACATCTTAATGACTTAATTATGCCAAAACATTGAAAAATCAATGGTTTTCTCCTTTAATCATCTTGCACATTAATGTGGAACACGCACAATACAAGTACTGTCAAATACCAATACTGGTATAAAATCACCCAGCATTCATTTCAGACTGTTAATATATCAGATTTCATATATATACTCAAATAAACCAGATAATATATCAGATAAACTCAAAGAATCCAATATAGTATCTGTAATATCCCTTAAGGCAAGTCACATGACTTTCACATGTGGTTTTCTGCATTCTTCACATGATAAAAATGTGTTCTCACACATAAGAGTGTGATCACACGTGAAAACTTATTCACATGTGGGGGAAAAAAAAACCGTGATTGCCTGTAAACACGAGGTTTTCTCACACTTGTGTAAGCTTAAAGAGATGAACTGTATGCCAACAGCTATGCTACCTGAACTAACAGTATTACTGCCATTACATGATGGTGTAGAAAACTGCTCGTGCCATAGAGAAATACACTGTAAATGTGAGCGCAGCACAGCATAGGGCAGATTGACTGAAACCCGTCCTGCACTTCACCCCCTGCCTCTGCATGTCATCTGTTTACACGGTTGCCATGTCGATAGCAGAGTGTTGCCAGGTTGCTGCAGCATTCCTGACCCCCTCCTTCTCCTGCTCTACTCTTGAGTTTAACATTTGCTGCAGACCTCCAGTGTAACTTAGACATCAAAGGCAAATGGAGGCACCTAACAAACCTTTTCCTAACAAACGCAACATTAAACAGCTTGTGTCTCTACACACAAACTTTCTTTGTACAAACCCTTATCCCCATCTATTTCTGGATTATTATGCCCAGCATTCATTATGCAGTCATTCTGAAGGCCACCATGAAAGCACTCTGTTCATTTACAAGGCAAATACCCAGAAATGTACTTCCTCTGCAAAACACTCAACAACAGCTCGAAACGGAAGACAACAGACTACATTTAAGAGAGGTCTACTGTTAGCACCATCAGAAACAGGCCAAAGCCTCCACAAGGCCTTTAAAAGCATCAGCCCCTTGATCATCAACCAACAGATAGCAAAGGAATGTAGTAGGCAGTTGAAGCAGTGAAAGAAATTACCGGAAAACCAGTCGCAGAGCTTAAAACTGTTGTGTTCAGGTCTGTAAACAATAGACAGCACTTCAGGGTAATTCCGCAATTATTTTCAAGAAAATAGTCTTTTCAGCAGAATAGAGATAACATCTGTAGGCTGGAGCAGGTCTGTTGAGGATGTGTATTTATAGGTGGAATGAGTACGAATAAAGGTGTTACTCATTGAGCACATTTGCATATGCTGTGAGAATTAATTTTAAATTAATCATAACAACATTGTTTACTCTTTTTTTAATATACAATGGGCCAGATTAATAAAACTCAGAGGTAATTAAGACCCATTTGTAAATTGACTGTGGTGGTGACCGTAGCACACAAAGGTCTTTTTAATGCTGCAGTATTTTCACCTGTGTCCTATGCAAGAGATAATCAAAATCTATATGTAAATGAGGTCCCTCTAACTAAAAAACCCAAGCCAAGTGACCCTCTGTTTGGCTGCCGAAATAGACCCAATAAAAAAATGAAAACAAAGAAACAGAAAGAAAACCGAGGTTCTCAGAAACAGAGCTACAAATTTTTAAACTTTTTATCAGCCAACGTTGACACGAGAAGGAATTGCATATATATAAATAATAATCAAATAACATCTTAAAATTCAACTTTTAATTGTAGGAATTGTATTTTAGCATGTTAAACTTTGCTTCTAATTAATAAGAATTCAAGCCTTTTTCCAATTCATTCGTTTAGCGCATGGTCATTTTCCCCCCTACACAATTGAAAATAAAATTGACATGCTGAAATCGCAATCACTAAAGCAAGCAGTTTTAGGATTTATGTTATTTTTTAGGAATTAAGTTTATACATGTGATAATTAGCAGCTAATAAAGATTAAATTCTTGATATCAGAAATTCAAAAAATTCTAAAAGCTAAAACTGCCTGCAGTAAAATCAATTAACATGTAATTAGAATCTCAACATGTCAAACTGCTCTTCACTTCTGGATTACAATTTAAACCTATTTTCCACACACAAGGGGAATTCACAGATTCATCTGACCCATGAAGAATTTAAGTACAGTGCCAGTTAAACCAGCCAATCTGAAATCCTGCTCAAACAAGCCTTCTACTCCTACAACAGCAGTTAGGTTTCCCAGAAAAATTACTGCCAGAGTGGTTCAGGTGTTATTTTTTGTGGGACTGAAAAAAAAAATCAAAAACATTAATACATCAATCCAGCCTTCTGAGGGAACATGCTGCAATTAATCCACGTTCATCTAACAAATCCCCTGAAAGAATAGAGCACAGCTCAGAGAGAGAGAGAGAGAGAGAGAGAGAGAGAGAGAGAGAGAGAGAGAGAGAGAGAGAGAGAGAGAGAGAGAGAGAGAGAGAGAGAGAGAGAGAGAGAGAGAGAGAGAGACACACAGACTGGGAGCAGGAACGAGAGCAAGAACAAGAGCGAGTGAGAAGGGTAAGAGAATAACTGATGAAGTAAAAACGAAGGGAAAGAGAGAGGACAGAAACTTAAGAGGGAATGCCAAGTAGACTGTGAGGAGGGAAAAGAAAATTGAAAAGATGAAGCTACAGAAAAAGTGACAGTAAGGTGGCGAGGCCTTACTGGAGGGACAGTCTAGGCTGTCACCAAGGACAGAAATATGTCATACCGCAGCGTTATGCATATAAAACAAATCAGCATTAATAATTTAATGAGAGAATGCAGGGGTGATTCTCAAGGGGCACTGCAGAGATTCAGGACACAGAGAGAGCTCGAGCCAACACGTGCTTATAAAACTTTTATTATGGTATCAATTTTTGGAGGGGTGGTTGTCTCTTTTTTGGGGCTTTTTTGTTTTATGAAAGCTGAAGAGATTGTAAATCATTATTACACTGATCTTTATTGGCAAACCATAACAAAAAAGGAAGCACATAAAAATTTGACTCTGTTTCAATCTATTCATATTTACAAGATGCTCCCCAAAATACAGTATGAAAAACATCAATAAAAGACAAATTGTACACTGAGGTTTTTAAAAAGTCCCACCATACATCTGTGAAGGGTTTCTGTGGGTCTTGTACGACAGTGGTTCTCAGCCCTGCTTAGAGACCCCAGTTCAGCAAATTTTACTACTTGTCTTCTCTATCATACCCACTTTGACTCAGGAAGGGGATGGCAATTAGCCAGTTAGTTAGAGCCAGTTTACTCCAGGGATCAGGGTTGGGAACCACTGAGACAGATCACCTCTATTTCTAGGTCAGATTTGCATTTGGAGCAGTTACTTTAACCCCTTAAACTCCATGGACCTGGCTTCTTATCTTCACTCTCAAATCTGCATACATGTTAGTTTCCAGTTGTTACTGAATAATTCATATTAGTACTCACTAATGACAAGATTAGTTCTGACTAACAAGCCTTAAGTCTTAGACTAATAACATATTAAGCTTAGAGTTTAAGGGGTTAAAATATTATGCTAAAATACACATTGCAGATGGTTCCTCGGTTTTGTGGAGAGGCATGCAGGCCAACAGCAGTCTTTACAGTAGACTAGGCTGGACTGATAGTGAAAAAGAAACAGTATAAAACTTGAGGCATAAACAATGAAACACCTATTATCTGTGTGTCTGTGCAGTTTGAGGGCAATGACTGTGCATCTGTGTTTTATGGAAAAAATAAATGCATTAATGCACTTTGAATGCGTAACTCCATAGTGTATGTGTTTGCTTTCAGTGAAGGACAAAGCATTAGTGGGTGAACATTAAGTGGAGGATATCATCTATCAGGACCTTTTAAAGGCCATTGTGCACGCTGCTGGAGTGAGCATGGTACAGTTTTCCAAAGCTTTAGTAACTGATATCGTCAGTCTCCGGAACAATGCTGCCTCTGGCCAGACAAACCCCTTAAAGAAGGCCCCCTTGTGCCAACAGACAGCAAGTGAAAGCTGAGGGAGCTGTGCACTCTGGGCGTCAGCTCTGAACCCTGGTGGGGTCAGGGAACAGTGCAGCCAGCCTCAGAGTGTCCATCAGTCATGGTCAGCTGGACTGCTGATGAGCAGAGGACTCTTTAAAACTGGAAGGAAAGGGTCAGCCCCCTGGAGCTCCACTCTGTCAAGAACATGCCCCTGAATGACAGGGAGGCTGGGTAGATGCAGAAGAACCATCGATAACATGACAGGCACAAGATCTGGGGTGAGAGTATGCGGTGAGATCAGAATGAAAGTTTACCAGGAGTTCTGCCAAAGTGCTTGATGTGTCCTTGGCTCTTTGATTAGAGTCCTTCATACAGGAATAAAAGTGTGCTCCACATACCATAACATTGCTGGCTGAGGCACAATGCAGTCACAACCTTGTATGGAATGCTAAAACATTATTCCTGAATGAAGCTCCTCAGAACACTGGTCAGCATTTCAACATATGAAACAGGCTCTCCGTTGCCAAAACCAGTAACTAAAGCCAGTGGGGCCGTTGCCAGCGAATTATTCCTGAGATACTGCAAGCGCACCAGCTGTCGACGCGAGCTTTCATTCTCTCACCAGAATGCCCACATCCTCTTAAGTGCACGCAGTCAAGATTCACTACATTGTCTTTTTCTACCTTGAAGTGGTGCATTCACGCATATCTAAACAGCTGGGGCTCAATACAATTGGTAGGTCATCAGTAGTGATGCTGACTTGAAGGGGGCTTAAGGTAAAATGTGGTCACATTAGCAGGAGAGACTGGGCTGGTTCTGGATCATTCAGGTGATTCAGTCAATCTCCAGGTCCATGAGCTTGCTGCGGGGCGTGTGCATGGGGTTTCTGGAGAGGCAGCAGTTGGCAACAAGAAGTCCAAGAAGAATCGACAGGGCACCAATGGCCAGAGCAGCAACCACACCATACAACACCGGCATCTTCAGAGAATCCCACACTGAGGAAACACACAAAAGTACAGGTCATGCACACTACTTTCAAGAAACATGGATCCAGATCAACAGATAACCACTTACACTGCAGGTTCATTATTTAGTCAGAATTAAATTTAAGACTGGATTTATAAACGCTTTCTGTACCTAGATGCATTTCAGAATTAAACATGGTATTAAGGATGGTATGAGTTAGGTCATGATGTTTAGTGGGAGGTAAATCATATTATTGGTTAACCCCACTACTTGTTTTAGAGGAAACAAAAGTCATTACATTTTAAATGATTACAATTTTTGTTTTAAGTAATTTGACGAATAGTGCTAAATATGACTAGGGACAAAGTCTAGTCATTCTTGTATCCATTTGTAAATGTCTACTGTAGAGGTGCTTTTAGTCTTTGCGGTCGGTAGGTTTTAACCCAGCCATGTTTGGTATCCAAATGTTGCGTCTTTAGCTTAAAACTGGACATAGTCTAGAGTCTAGAGTCTAACATTGATAAGCAAAGGAAGTCATTAGTCACCCGAATCATTTGTTGTCTAAAATGCCTGTCTGCTGCTTTTAATTACACTGTGAACTTCTGTTCATTTTACAGTTCACAGTAATCATAAACGAAGTCTCTGTGACTGTACTTAGACCTGGATGTGTTTGAGTGGTTGAGAGAAGTTTTGGGGATTTCCAGATTTCCAGAAAAAACTAGGTGACTGCTAGCAAACATGAGAAGTCAGTAAATTTAGCTTTGTAGCTCTAGCACTAAACTAAATAGACAAAAATTGGAAATAAACCATGTCTTGGTCATCTGGGGTTAGAGTTAGGGTTATTGGAAAATTGTGTAAATTTTATTTTTCACTGAAACCTTCCTGTTTTAACACTACTAAAACAAAAGGAAAATAAGAAATTGAGTTATAAATAGTATAAAAACATGACTGTTCTCTCATTGGCTGAGGGAACAGGGCAACTTTTTGGTGCCTCAACTCCTTAAGGGCCAAATTTCCACCACTTGCCACACTTTGTAGCGCTGTGGTCTACTGCATAGATAAGGTCACTCAGTAATATGTAGAAACGGGAAGTCCTCACATGCTAGTTTGATGGAGAGAATGACTGGGGTAGAAGTGAGCTCAGGTCCATCCCTCCAGGTACCAGCATCAGGTAAGATGTACCAGGGCTTGGCTGTGCAGTAATACTCTCCTACATCCCTGTCCTGAGTGCGATGCACACTGAGCACAAACGTGTTCCTGTCTGTGCGTTCCAGACTACACTCTGTGCTCTCATTTCCCCCATTCTTCTTCACCACCCCCCAGCGGTCCATGCTGATGAGGGGCACAGCACCACCATTTTCCACTGCTCGCGCTGGGCTCTGGAACCAACGAACGTCAAAGGCCACATCATCTGAGAGGGAGAAGGTGAGGGAGAAATAATTAAAACAGAACACAGAAAGGAAACTTACTTTTAAAGGATTACAGATGTCAGTACGCATCTTAACCACAATGTCACTGAACCACTGCACAAAAACGAAGCAAACAAACACAGAACATTTCTACCCGACTGTGAAGAGAGATAAACGCCCTTAGTACCCTGAGAGAGAAACACTTGACAGTTTCAGGCAGGACAGAAGCAGGCCCCTGCATGCACTTCCACTGCTATGTGAGGAATCTCCACAAAGGCCAAGATAAAATGGTAAACCGCCTGCAAATATGAGCTCTGTGCTGCTGCCGTGTCTCTGTGCTCATTTTACCACAGCACTCTGCCCTAAACGGAAGCCTGACCGAGTCCATTTACACTGATGTAGATGTCTGCTGACGGTCAAAGGTTTGGGGACACCTAGCTCTTTGAAATGTGTCTAATACTAATAAGTATGTTTTCTTTGCTGGTTTGCAATTACCTAACACGTTAAAGACTATCTGGGTTTTGAAGTAAACGGAACCACACGTGGAAATATCTTTGACATGGTTCTTTACTGTCCAAACCCTCCTGAAAACAGCCAAGAAAAAGCAGACCAATGACACCACCTGTCCTGTATCAAACCAAGAGAGTAATCTTGGAATCAGTTGTAGGCACAGTGTTACGTATGTGGCGTGTAAAGTAACAGTACAGTGCAGAGATAGCCTCGCTCCCTTTAAACTAAAAAAGCACAAAGGAATTCTGGGAGATGTGGGAATTAACACATTGGAACACAAGAGTTCAGTATCAGTACAATTACACTGCAAAATATTTTTGTTTAGTGAACCGAACACTAAACCGCATGATGTTATGACTATGACTGTTCCCCTTTAAACCACCTACGGGCAAAAAAAGACTTTCAGAATATTTTTAAAGAATAGTTTGGAAAAGAAAACTGTCAAAGCATAATTTAGGCTCTGCTCTGCTCTTCATACCAAGTAAATAGTTACTTTATGTTTAAACATATAAAAATATACAAGGTGTCTCCAGACTTTTTGCCAATGGAAGTACATGCTTAGCCACAAATCTACTGCACATCCAAAAACTCTAATACTGCCCAGTTAAGATCAATGATTTTAAATAACGATGATGCTTGTGATGAAGAGGAGGACAGACTTGCCACTTTTATTTAAAAGGACCAGTGGGACTGGACTGAGGCCTAGGGCAGCCTCATTTGTGCTAATATACCCTCGTGTCAGTAGACAAGGAATGACAGGGTCTAACTCCCACTCGGTTCTGGAGCTTCATGACACGCATATCAACTCACACATGTCAAATGGATCATTCCCTATCTGAAACAGCTAATTGCATGTCAGATCTCTTTGAATGTTGTCAGCTAAAATCAGCGACTTCCTTCCTTCCATTGAAAATATAGCTGGGCCTCCATTCTCCTCGCCTGAGTGGATGAGGAACCAAAGAAAAAGAGAAGCAATTAACAGTCATACAGTTTACATTACACCAAACGACTCATAGCGTGGAATTAAACACACCCCAAATTACTCCCTGTTAAATCTGCACAGCAGAATGGACCGTGCTGACTACAATTTTCCGAGATACCTAGCGGACAATTAAACAAAACATTTCACTTTATCGTACTGTTTGCTTTTTATGGAGTGGTGAGCACCGTTGTTTCTTTTACAGTATACAGCCCTACTAATGGACTGTGAGTATGTGCAGAGAGCACAGAAGAAGCGGAGCACTCTCAGCAGGGAACAGCAGGCGCTTTCTATGAACCTGAGATAATTTCAGAGCCTAAGGGAGCACAATGGCCCTTATTCTCAAACTCTGTGAATAACAACTAGGCCAAAATTAGCCCTGAAACAAGAGTGGCAATTTTGCATAAAGCTTTTGCAAAACAAAAGAGCCATAAAATCTGACACTTCAGAACACTGGCATTAACTTCAGCCTGTGATACTACTGAGAAGTCAATTTAGAGTACAGAGAAGCACCATCTGTAAACAGACTATGGTAAGCGTTTTTATACACAAATTATAATAGTTATCCTTCCACTATCTCTAAGACTACAGAAGAGTCAAAATGTTCTAGTGGGAATCAGTTAAATTCACTTAACTGAGGCACATGGATTACTGTGTTATACTAGCCTGTCTTGTAGCGACAATTTACGGTTTTGAGAGAGCCTTTTACTGAGTGGGCGATACGACAAAAATTACATCATGATACATCAAGACATTCTCAAGATACATGAGATCCATCACGATATTTAGTTTTTCTCAGATATATTAACTTGAAACAGACATAATAGTGTCTGCAGTGCCACATATAAAACAATATTTTTATTCAGCGTTTCACAACGTGTACTGCACTAAATGCAATTAAACAGGACTAATTATGCTCACTTTGTAATAAAATACAGTTAGTGAGTGTTCTTTAAGTACTAATGATTTCCGTGATATGCTCAGAAAAGCATGTAGTGACAATTTATCACAATAACAATAAAATATCATCATGTTGCCCGCCCCTTCTTTCAATCATTAGGGAAGTTTTCACAGAACAAAACATCAACTAAGCAAGCACACACTCTACTACACACACTCACACACTTCTAGCTGATAATGAAGCAGGGTAATGCTGACTTAAGCCTTTGACTGCTATGAGGGTTTACATGCCTGGGGCCACAGATAAAGACTGGAGGAACATTTTCTTGCAATGCACAGCTAACACTAGCCTAGAACAATGAAGGACAGCAATTTTCAGAATGACATGATGGCACAAGTTGGGTGAACAAAGAGCAGTAAGAAACCACCACAAGTTAAAACATATTAAAACATGCCTATAAGAATCAAGTTGTCCTTCAGCTCTTCCCAGAACAAACTGCTTCATTTTCCTGGAATCTATGATAATGTCATTCTGGTACACTGCATTATGTGAAACATTCTTATTCTTATATATTTTAACATGGTACTTCTATTAGGCCAGATAATTTGGGGAAAATATCTAATTGCATGATACAGAATATTGTGACTGATTTCAATTGCAGTGTTTTCTATAAACTATGGTCCAGGCCAGTTATTCAGCATACCCATGTTTTCTGGCTTGAGGCTTAAATGCTGAACTGTCAGTTTTGGTTGTGTTGTACACAGCATATGGGTGTTTGGTTGATTCTGGTTGGTCTAACTCATCTACATGCAGTTCATGAGCTCTGTGTTATTGGGTTAAATTTACCCACTTAAAACTTAAGTCTATACTGTTGATAAATGTAGCCTATAATTAAAATTGCAACTCTTGTGACTTGAAAATAGCATTTTTTTTTTAATTGTGATTTCAATGTAAATATCCTTCCTGCGTCAGCCCTAACTACTGGTTCATTTTGTCTCTTCCAACTTAAAAAAAAAAACTAAGAAACCTGAAGCATTGTGATGATATTTTTGCCATATGACCAACCTCCAGAACAAGGCCAAAAAAGGTATTTAAAATAATGCTATAATACATTTCTACCCGGAATGCATAGGATATCACCATAATCATCAGGTCTAATATAAGGAAGTGTGATAGACCAACTTCTTTACATTATATTGCACCAAATCTTTTGTTAGCTCAATCTCTCACAAAAAAGTGCTCAAAATACAGGCTACCATTGAAAAAAGGGGTATTTAGTGGAATTGATTCTTGTCTCTTACCACAATTACACTCAGTACCTAGACTGGACACAGAAGTGAGACTCCACAGCATGTTCTTGTATATGTGAGGTACTGCATGTCAAATGTTCATGAGAAAACCAGTCAAGGAACACAGTACTTGCCTGTGTTGGGAGTGGCTCCCAGTATGGACAAGATGCACTCCATTTTGGCTGTGTCCCCATGGAGAACCCTGTGTCTGTCTGAGTGAATGGACACGTTGAATACTGGACCTGTGAGGGGGAGGGACACACAAAAAAGGGGTTTTAAGGTCAAAACAGGCTTTCTTTCTGACTCCCCCTAAGGCAGTAAAACAGACAGACCACTACTGCTAAAAACTGTGGTATGTCTCCTGCATGTCCAAAGCCTGCTGAATGTCCTGCTTAGTCTAAGAAGTCTTTTGAGTTAATCTGTTCCTGAGTGGTTCGAGTGTGATCATCCAGGCTGCTTCACTTATAGGCCAACATATAAATTAGCAGGTTAGCATTCTGATGCTGGACTGAAGGCCTGGATGAGTGTGAGGTCTGTGCCAAGGTCAAGATGAACTGAACTCAGAACAAAAACCTCAGTCCTTACTCATCAGCAATTCCAGAGAGAGAGAGATAGAGAAAAAAAGAGAAAAAGGGAAGGACGGGAAGAGAAAAATTAGAGAGAAAGAGCAAGAGAGATGGGAAAAAAAGAGAAAAAAAAGAGTAAAGGAGACAGACGAGAGACAGAAAGAGGAGGAGTAAAAAAGACGACGTGAGAAAGAAAATGGAGACAGAGAAAGACAATAACAGGGCAACACACGGGAGGGAAAGAGGAGAAAAAAAATGGAGACTGAGAGCAAAAGAAAGACAAAAGAAACACAAAAGGGAGAACAGAGACAGAGAAAAGGAAAAAGGAAAGCCAGATAGAGGAGTGAAATTAAGAGAAAGAAAAAGAAGAAAAGAGAAAGAAAGAAAAGAGTAGAAAAAGAGACAGAGATAAAAAGAGGAGAGGGAAGGAAATTAAAGAGAAACCGAGAAAGAGGGAGTGAGACAGAGAAAGCCAGAAAGAGGGAGTGAGACAGAGAAAGCCAGAGAGAGGGACACTGACTGAACAGCAGGAATCTGCCCTGAGGCTGTTCTTATAGAGGGCCAGAGTGAGAGGAACAGCACTGACCTACCATCTAACTGCAGCTAGCAGTGCTCATAAGTATCAGTCAGGGATCATCTCCACTGGCCTGAATGTGAATCTATTTTGTCCATGGATACCTGAGTCTGCAAAGGCGATCTCTATTTTATTGGACTCTGCGCTGACGGCTCTGCTCCAGTCGCTGCTCTGATCACGCGTCCAGGCAGTCACTTCACAGCAGTAGAACCCTCGGTCCAAGACCTGCGCCCCATACAGCCTGAAACGGTACTCCTGCTGGCCCATCTTCTCCAGGGCCACGCTGTCGGTGCGGCTCGCCGCCATACCTTCCTCCAGCTGCAGCACAGAGTCTGGATTCAGGGACAGAATTTTCCGAGGGTTCCGTCCCTGCGCATCTTCAAAACGGATGAGCACAGAGTAGCCAGGGTTCTGCAGGTTCTGACCCGTCACCCGACAACTCATCTCGAACGTGGAACCACCTGTAGAGGCCTCTCTCACCCGATGAGCCACCACACTGAGCACTGGAGCTGCAACAAGAGCAAGAACCAGTCAAAAGGTCACATCCAAAGCATTCCATGAGTATTTTCCTGCTGTCCTCAGCCACACTTAAAATAGCTCATGTCAACTGTAACCATAAACATAAGCAATCAAGAAAACAAATTAACCACTTTAAACTACCACTAGATTGTTCAGCAACAACATTTGAAAGTTTCAGCACATTGGAACTTGAAGCTCAGTGGAATGAACAGTGCATACTGTCCAGTCTCTGACAGAGAGAGCATTGTAAGCTCAATCGGTCTTGAGAGAGATCTCATCATAGGCACAATTAAAACCATTTATTCTCTGTCTTGATTAGGTTATGGAAAAAGGGAGTCACTGAGGACATTCATGCCTCATCTACTTTCATTTAGCTGTGGTAGTCTTGGTGATCTGACTGATATTGCTCCAGGGAGGAATGGGGCTATTCTAACAATATGAAGGAATGACTTAAGAACAGTGACTAAAGTATTACAAAGTACAGGCAAAGAATAAGCATTTGTGGCTTCACTTGGCTTCTTGTATGCACTTATATGGCTATAACAACAATATGATTCAGATTTCTTTCTTAAATCTTAAAGGAAGTAATTAGTTTTGCAATCAAGAGTCCACTGCCCGATAAAGGAGACTGGTGCTTACTCTTGGGTTTCCATTGTACAGTGACTGGATCTGACTTAATCTCTTTGGCCTTGTCCCATCCTGCCTGGCGGCTGGGAGTCCAGGCAGTCACACTGCAGGAGTAAAAGCCCATGTCCTCATCCCGAGTGCGGAGCATCCGCAGTCTGAAGGTGTTCTGCTCACTGCGGGTCACTGCAATATCCCCTCTGTCCAGCCGCTGCCGATACTTCTCTCCTGGTACCAGCACCCCATGCTCATTTATAGAGGCAATAGTGCTGATGCTGGAAGCTACATCTCCTGGTATGTTCATAGTGTAGGTCCAGGACACACTCAGGCGGCCATCTCGCAGATTGAGGAGGTCGGTCACCTGACAGAGCAACTCTGTGGGGTCAGAGGTGAACTGGGGGGTCAGAGATGCCGTGAGGGTCACCTTAAACTCTGGATCTGTGTGAAGAAGAGTGAAAAAGGCATTTATTATGTGAAGCAGCAAAAGGGAATCAGATCAACTGCAGAGTCTGAGTACAGTTCAGCATTGCCTAAAGATCACATCTTCGCTGTCATTCCAACAATTTACAATTCCATTGTAAATTGTGTACCACTTACTGACACATTACATCTGAAGAGAATTAGATGTATCGTAACAAAGACGTTAAAGAAACTAAAGGAAAAAATATCAGCTTTTCACAAAACATTCATTATCAGTATTAGCTAGTTAGCTCCTATTTGGGGTTCCAGGGGTGGGATTTGGGTTTCGCTCTGGTTAATTTTTCCAGTGTTAGAGTTTTATTTATTTTTACCCACTGCCCTTGCCTTTTCTTGCCCTTAAGTAGTACTGAGCCTCAATTTTGTCCAGCTTGAGCGGGCCACCTTTTTTTTTGCGTTTGTTTTGAACAAACAGGAACGACAGCTGATGCCAGCCACTTTGCCTCTGATTAAACATTAGTCTTACACTGGACAGCCTGAGCAAAGGATTTACATTCTTTCCAGTTTCAGCTGTCACTGTTCAGTCTCTGACACACTCACACACACAGTGAGCCCTGTATACGTGAAGCCGTGCCAGATGGCATTATGGACTCTGCTTGTCTGAGTCACATAATATACCCGACTGTTGTATTGTTGGAACAGACACACCTGTTTGTGTAACTGAAGAAACAGATTCCCTTTTTCTAGTAGAATAAAATCCTAAATTCCGTCTTTAGTGGAAGTGTATAACAGGTAAGGTGAACCTCTAGGACGAGTGTATTTAACCTTTCACCTTTACACTATAACCATTTTATTAGACCATAAAGACAAACTGGCAGTAAAAAAGATCTGGATCTCATTAAAGTGCAACCAGGACCGTGCACACTGCACTATTAGGCCTGTCACGATCATGAAATTTTAGTTGATGATTACCTGCCATGTAAATAATTGCAATTACAAATGCAACTGTCTGTTATTCATTGTGTGCAGCTCTTAAATTAGAAGCCTAAAGAGGTTAAATGTGTTGATAAGCTACACTGTCGGGGGGGGGTTGGTGGGCAACAGCAAGGGTGTCAAGCAATTTCAAGCCATTACAATAAACACAAATGTCTGTGAAAAAGATGATAATTTACATTCTATTTCTGTGAAAAAAAATGGCTGTTCACCATTACATTTTAAAGTACTGTGAATCTTCTTGTTGGTTCCTGATGATAGACGCAGCTCGAGATCAAATAAACAAAGTCGTCAACTGCTTTTGTTTGACATAGGACTCAGGTTTCAGTACATGTGTTTTCTGCTTTCTTTAATTGACATTAATTTGCCTAAACCCAACTGACGAAAACATTCCCAGCTCATATTTGGTTTGGTCTGATGTAAACTAATGACAGAGTTAACACGTTTGTAAAACAACTGCAGTCAGCTTTACAAAACTGAGATCAGGTAATTATGTAATAATTGTGACAGGCCTATGTAATAATATCTGAAGTAGAGCTACATGTCCTATAATAAAGCTGCATACACAGAGCAGTAAGGATGTACAAAATACTGATGAACATTCAGTGTTGAGAGGGAACTAATACAGTGGAGCTCTGGGCTATTACAGAGTACTTCCTTCTACTGAGGCTAAGAGGAACTAACAACTGGAAACTGTAGTTGAACTTTTTTTTCATCCCCACAATAACAAAACATGTGAGGGTAAGAGACGTAAACAGATGGGCAACATAAAGAGAGGCTCATAGTTACAGTAATAAAGGCACTTTAGGACTGGGATCACACCCCCTCCCCCGACCTGAGCCAAAGAAGGAAATACAGCAGAAAATGAGCTCACCCCCACTGACACTGGGTGTAAACCTAGGATAAACAAATGGCAACTTGCAGTAACGACTAATAAAACAGGGGCATGGGCATTGCATTGTTTCCAGGTACTTTCCACACTTGTGGTAGTAATATTTGTGGAGGACTGGAAGCTGGAGGAACACCATTGTCCTGTTCGACCACAGTTAAACCCTAACTGCTCCACAAACGTTACACAAATGGCTGATGTTGTGCTCAACCCTCAGATTCCTCGTGTTTGGATATGCAAACACACAAATACCAATGGTGCAGTACAAATGGCCAACAAAGTGATTCTATCTGCAACTTAAACTAATTCACATCTCAGACATTATCACCACTGTATCAGTACATCAGAACAGTCACTGTGACACCAATTAGTCTTATTAAAATAAAGCTTAATGTACGTAAAATAAGTCTACAAACCTTAAGTTACTTCCTCACAGACTAACGGTTAAAAGCTGAGCCTGCTGTCCAATTTAGTAGAAACCTGAAACAATGCTCGTGACATTACTGGTTTTGGCTGTCTGCCAGAGATCACATTAAATGTTAACAGCAAGGCCAACAGACACAGACTTGTAAGCTACAGACATGTGAACGGTTAGGGAAAGGATTTCGTTGTCTAAAGGGCCCATATCATGGAAAAATTAAACTTTTCTCATTTCTCTGCAGTGACAGAGGATGATTTATTACATAAACATTATTAAAAGTTTCAAAATGTATCATTTACTTTCTTGTTCATAGATAGAAACTAAGCTCCATTTTGAATTCCTTTTTTTGTGATGCCACAACCAAAACCAACACATTTGCATATATCCACCTATTCAAGCTACAGCTGTTTAGCCCTGTGTATTCACACTGAAGTAATAAGGAGTATTTTAGTCAGGACTGCTTTTAGAATGAGGCACAAACATAACAAAAATGAGAAAATTCTTTAAGAGCTAAAGAAATGTTGGAAAATGGTCTTTTAAAAATAATTTTTCAGTCCATAAAACCACACAAACATATTTGACACTTCAAAGAAAAAATATACAAGAATAATGTAAGATATGGACCCTTTTAACTGTAACTATAGTGTCTGTAACAATTGAAAGTTGCTTTTTTAAAAACATACTACATACACTTTTGTAAGATCCTGATTATTTACTAGGGTCTGAATGATATCAGCTGGTTCATAACACTGGCAGATATTGACCACTTGCGGGTTTTGTGACACTGGCAAAAATATTGCCAATAATTAGAGACCTGTTTTGGTCTTGCTACAATATTTCTATTATTTAAGACCCAGCTGCTCTTTTTGCATTTAAAACATGACAGTTGAAACCTGAAATTCATTAGTAAATCACTGTTTGGAGTATAAGCATATAATCTAAAATATAAAGTTATATCCAACAATATTAAAGATTATTGAAAATGTAGCCTAACATAATCAAGACCATTAGCAGCCACAGACTTTTCATATCGTTTGTGCCCCCAAAAAACATCGCTGTAATAAATCAAGGACTATACAATGAAGCCCTTGGTGAAATGCTGTTTCCGAATATAGTGTAGGTGCCCCTGCCAAAGCCTACAGCTCATGTTGTGGTGTCCAGCTTACACTCTGAAAGTGGCGCAGGTGCAATTGTGTAGGCATTGTGTGGGCTGTTTGGAGCGAAATCTGCACGTGCAGGTTCTTGCAGGTCTTCCTGTTTCCTAAGGCAATTTCCAGCATGATAAGGTCAGATGATATATGTACAAATAGCCTCGTAGCACCTAATGCTAGTTCAAGCAACATGTAGACCAACCCATGTTTGAATTTTTTTTTTTCCTGCATTATCTCCATTTGAAATTAAACCTATATGGTAAAGGACTGGAAATTCAGTATTGTACACAAATGTGAATGTGAGATATGGAGGACCATCACATACATCAAGGAATGAAATGATGGATGGATCTGATCAAAGCTTTCTTCAACTAAGCATCCCCAACTATTTACATGATGCTTTTTCCAAGCATGCATGAAAATCCTTATCGGCCCTTAACTCACAGACCAAGATGAAAGGAAGACAAGCATGTTATATCTTACTTCAGATCAAACTCTGGTCTACAGAGAGTGCCTAGGACTCAAAATAATGTGAAAGGGAGTTTGACTCCTACTGCATGGTGACTGCAACCAACCATTTGAAATTAAATGATAAAGATGACCAAAATGGATGCTGCATTCTCAACAGCCAATATATACCTTGGAGGAGATACAACAAAGTTTTTGTAATTCTCAACAGGGCGAAGTGAGAGCTAATTCTATGAGGCTCAATATAATCCAGCTCATGAGTCAGGCTTGTCTTGACACCTCCCACTGCCAGCACACTGCGCTTTTAATGTTTAATCTAGAGAAAGTAGAACTGCCTTTGATACAGCAGAGGGGGGGGAGGAGAATACCCCACCCAACTGTGCTGCAGTAGAAAAGCTGAAGCAGGTAGGAGAAGACGGAAAGGAAGAATGAGAGCAAGACAGTGGGAATGAAAAAGAGAGGAGTCAAGAGATACACTCTTAAAAATAAATGGTTTTCGGCTTGGCTGTGTAAATAAATTCTGATGCTATTTTCGTGGTACTACTGTTTCTTTTGTCTGTTTCAACTTCCATTATGTTTTTGACATCTGATATCATATCGTTTACAGTGAAAATGTTTAAGTATTGTGCTGTATTTTTTTCCATATCGCCAACCAGTATTTCCATGGAATTGCTCCAAAGACCCCTTTTTTAGTGCCTTTGTTTTTAAGTGTTTAACCTGAAATAAAGCTTGAAGAAAACTTAGTAAGACATAAGGAATCAAAATGCTCCCTTACCTAGCTGTGTTACAAGAACCTGGACAGGGTCAGAGGTTTTCTCTGCAGCCTGGTACCATCTCCCACTGCCCTGTGGCAACCAGGCCTTGACCTGGCAGAAGTACAGACCGGAGTCCGAGCGCTGCACTTTAGGCAGGATGAGCCGGAAAGCGTCTGGCTTAACCCTGCTCGTGCCCACCAGCTCTGAGCCGCTGAGCACTTGCCCATCACGTCCCACATGGATCAGCACTCGCTGGCCAGCCGATGAGTTGACTGCGCTGACCAGCCACGTCAGCTCCAGGTCCAGAGAAAGGAGGCCACGAGCAGCTAGTATGCAGGTCAGATTCAGAGTGTCCTCCACACTGAGGGTAACATTCTTCTCCACAGAAACCACCAGAGACTGGGCTAAAACATGGCAAAGAAGGGATGCTATTACAAACAGCTCAGTGGAGATGAAAAGACTGCATGAATGGAAGCAAAAACCTGAGCTTCTGTTTTTAAACAGGCAGAGAACACTATGTTTGACTTCAACCTGAAAAGTATTAACTTTGCTGAGTGTGAGCAGCATGGATGTGTCTGTATGACCAGGGCGCTTTTAATAAAACGCCACGAAAAGGTCACAGCGCAAACTTAGCATTGTTCATGGTGCTTCAGAATTACAGAGAGGATTTAAAAAGAGTCCCTGCCTACTGCTCTTTGTCTGATGTCGACATGCAACTGTCGACAAAAACGTTTCAGCATAGATCCCAGCTTCAATCTCAAGATTTTGTGCTACAGTACACTAAGAATGTCAGTATAACTATCACTGTAAGCTGAGGATAGAGACTAGCTGCTTATAGAAAAAGGAAGAAAACTAAAGAAATATTTCACATTAGCATTACTAACTGAAAGCCAGTGGTAGCTGACATTATTTAATTTCCATAATGACAACTGGCCTCCGCAAACAATGGTTTTGCCAGTAAAAGTATTTTAGTGCACAGTAACTAATGGAACTCCTCCTAATGTTTACACAGTTCTACTGATTGTAGAGTGACTCAGCAACAGTTAAACCTCATCTGTTCAGTGTGACCCATTCCCTTGGTATGTCTCAAGTACAAACTGGAAAAAAGTGTTACTCACCTAAGGGTGTGACTGTAACCTTCCCCATTTCTTCACTCCTTTCTAGGATCTTGTGCCAACCTTTCCCTCCGCCAGGCTGCCGCGTCCACTCCCTGGCTGTACAGATATATGCACCCTGATCTGACGGCTTTGCCCCCTTCACAACCAATCCGTAAAAGCCACCCTCACGTAGGTCCAGAAGAAGTCCACCATCTGCATAACGCTGTGCAAAACTTTGGCCAACTTTCACCCCACTGTCTGGCCCAAATGTCAAGATGTTTTCTAGGGAGTTGGTGTCCTTTCTAATGGACCAGGTGATCGACAGGAAGGTATGCGCTGTGTAGGCCCGGCTGGCGTTGCACTGTAGCTCCAATGGTTCGCCCTCAGACACAGCTGGCTGAGGAATGGATGGAATCACCCTCAGAGTATCTCCAATCACTGTACATAATAAATGACAATTACCTTATTGCTTCATCGTTTCAAATGCTGTAATTGGTTAAATCTATATTAAAAGAAATTACAGAACACAAACTAATAACTACTTCACTTATATAAAAGTACTGTGCAAAATTTAGAGACCAACTTCATTTATTTAATTTCCAGTTAAAATGTTATTCATTTTTTAGTGTCAAGAAAAAGGTCAGAAAAAATTACACAGAGGATAAATGAAACAAATTTTTCAGTATTTAGTATGTACTTTTCCTTTGTCACAGCTTCTATTCCTTTCAAGGAAATAGCTTTCAGTTTTTCAAAGAAATCTGCAGGGGTACTTTGCCCACATGTCCAACGTTCTGTCTTACATGTTGGTTGCATTTTCTGCTTCTCACAATCCCAGTTACAAACGTAGGCTGCTCACTTAACAAACCCTTACTCCACATCTCAGATGCCCATTTTCGTTGTTTACTGGATTTTTTCTTCTTTTGTCAATTTGTTTTTTTTCAGTTATAACTTCTTAACAGCTACACATCCTTTCAGACTCATAGCACCGAAATACATGCCCCCAGTGGATGGCTGAACTGATAGAGAGTGGAACTTGATTTTCACCCCTCTCTCAAAGATGACAGTAAATAAATAAAGGGTGGTTTTGGACTTTTTGTATGGTACTGTATACACTAGAGCATAACTTTTAGAGAAAACAAAACAAAAAAATCTTTCCCTTCATATAACACTTCCTGCCATATTCATCAGATGAGGAACTAACAGGACATTGTGATACAGTTAGTCACCTATCATAATCCTTTTCCTCTACTTCAGAAACATGAAACTGTTGAGACAGTTAAACCACCCAGAATTACCTCTCATTTCTCAAGTTCCTGTGGTAGTCAAAAATTTCCCTCATGGGATATCACTACTTGGATATCAGCTTCTTGCAAATCAAACATGAAGTGCTCATACCCAAATGAGCTAGATCTCTTTTCCACATAAAGCTGACCAAGCATTTACCTCACACTTGCGTGTCTGTAAGTGGAATATAGTTATTTTTAATTCTCTCCAGTGAAGTTCAAGCACATTTCCCAAAGAAGAGTGATTCTGGTGGAGTCTTGGCTGACATTTGCAAGTTATGACCACTACATGCTGCTTTCTGTTGCACTGATAGGCCAATAGCATCCACATAATCAACCCATAATTAGCCAGCCACTCAAATTGATGAAGGAGAATAAGAAACAGATGACATTAGTAACTGCACACAGCAGAAGATCTGACTATCTATTCCTTCATTTATTTCATAAAATACTGCTAGCACCAAATGGATCTATTTATGGGAAACTCTTCACTGCAACGGGATCCTTGGCCGCATTTTCATTCTCTTTGGGAACTGAATAAAAATAGCCAGATTAAAGATAAAGATGATAAACACATTGCTGTATAACGACCCACCTCTGAGTTCCACATCTGCATTGTAGTTCCCGCTCATGACTGAGTCTGTGCTTGGGGTACTGCAGCGATAGGTGGTGCTGTCCGAGGCCCTGACCTTGCTAATAATCAGCTCCACAGAAGCATCGGACAGTTTCTTAATACTGATGCCCCCACTGTTGATCCGGTCCTTCACAGAGGGGTCTGGGTATGATGGATCAAAGGTGGAGATGAGCTGGACCTCTGCTCCATTATCCAGAATCAAGGCCCACTCAAACTCTTGATCTCTGGGTCCCTGATAATCCGAAACATTACAGCGGATGGACACAGACTGCCCCTCTACACGTACCAATGGACCAGCAGGCACCGACACCACCCGACTCTCGCACAGTGTAGCTGAAACAGATGGACAGACATCAGTTACGTGCACATAATGTCCTCACGAGACCTACCAATTTTACTACATTATCTTGATCCATCTAATGAACAAGTTGTTTAATCCACATTCACAGAATTTGCTAAATATTCCATTTGTGGCAACTGTATCAACAGGATTTCGACTGAGGGGAAACTGAAGGAGATGGAAATAATTCATCTTAAAGAACCCTTTAAACTTAAAAAGTTCCTCCTGTACATGTAAACATGGTGCTCAGGTTACAACCAAGGAAATCTAGATGCGTCTTTGATCATCAAGAGTGAGGCTAGACAAACCCGTCACAAACTACTGAGAAAGTGTCTCATATTGTTCTTGCAAAACTGCAAAACCATGCCACACTAACAACTGTATGCAAAAGTTTGAACACCTTAGGTCAAATAACTTGTTCTGTTAATTTTTTATCAAATTAAAATAAGTGAACACACTCAGTACAGGGAAAAAAGTTTAATATGGCATTTATCTGCAAAAGTGCACAGTTCCTATTTATTTGCTGAGTTTTTGAAAAAAATATTTAAAAAAAAATTGCTACATCTTTTGCACATGCCACTTATACATACACTTTACACACACATATTTTATATATATATATATATATATATATATATATATATATATATATATATATATATATATATATATATATATATATATATATATATATATATATATATATATATATATTCCCCCCAATATGTTCAATCAGGAAATTACAAACTGTGCACTAAATTTGCAGAAAAATGTTGTATAAGTTCTCTATAGAGAATGTGCTAACTTAGCTTACTTTTCCCTTTGAAAACCAGCTAAACAGCCAATCATTTGACTGGGGGATATTTAAATTTTTGTATACGACTGTATGTGACAATTAATTTTCGGCTAAAATTTCATGATTGTGACTTTTCTACTTTGTGTAACTCTACTATAAGAAACAGATAGTCAGTTCAACCTAAAAAAATACTTCATGTGGTAAAAAGAATTTTTTTTTTTAGTTTTAGTGAAAAAGATTCTTTGAATGAAACAATGCAAAGCAACACTGAGTTTTGATATACAAAACCAATATTTTACATCAAATCAAACCTCAAAAACACTGTAAATCCACTTCTGCCCTGTTCCACTTTTTACAGTCAATCACCCCGGCTATTCAGCAACATCCTGGGAATGTGAAGGCAAGAGTACCAGCAGCACAGTTCAGTGTACGTGACTTAACGGACAAACACAACTGACCGGCACCACTGTGGACTGACAGGAGAGAGGAAGGGAGCCATTATTCCCAACCAATGAGAGAGCGCACTCTGTGACTCCAAGCTAATGCTGGCTTGGGACCCAGTAACAGGGCGCAGCTCTCTGATTAAACTGGGCCTCTCAGGAACCACAGATTTGACACCTTTATTCTGATGTTCTTTTGAAGGTCTAACTCAAACTTAAGACCGATCACAATCAGTGAGGGTTGAAACAGTCAACTGTCGTGAAAGATAAACCTATATTTTGTTTCTGTTTTTTTATTTCAAGATGTCACAACTGGGGGGAATTAGTTCACCCCTCTAACCAAAAAAAAATCCATTTATAGATACGTTTATAGTAAATACCCTTATTTGGTCACCATTCTGACCTCAGGACAGAAGGAAGAAACTCCAGTCACAGCTAGTGACAAATATTTAGCTTTTACTGGTTGGAGAGTTAAGTGTTCTAAAACAAGCACAGCCACAGTGACGAAACTACTAACACTGAACGAGCCAAGGAATGAGACACGACACTGTGGTTCCACGAGAAGAGAAGCTCTCTAGTATGATGTAAATGCATGAAAGGAAGGACAGAGGAACGGAAACAAGAGGACACACAATAGACATGCAAGGACTTGCCTCCACATGAAGAGGAGGGCATGTGGTGACAACAAGTTTCGACACAGAGAGCAGCAGAATAAGACAAACGTGGAAACACGGAAAAAGACATTAAGGGTCGGTATTGTTAACGTGGTTTAAGCCTAGTCTTGAACTAAACCGCCATGTTAAAGGTGTTTCACCATTAAAACAACTCCAGTGAAGTCTCCTGCCCTAAGACTTAAAGGGGAACTCTACCTATTTTTCAAAATTTCTACATGATTAAATGGTTAATATGTCAACAAAGTCATCCAGAGTGGTTTGGTGTGAAATTCTCTGTTCTAGAGAAACTTAGCAAGTCAGAAATGTTCACAATGGAGGCAGAAAGGAATCAGACGTCTACCTCTAAAAGCTCCCTTACAGAAAGTTATTATATGAACTGATATGAATACTCAGCCTGATGTCTGAGACATTGCTTTACAGTATCTATGTGACAAAGTTTTGGTCTAAAACATATTTTAATCAATGAATTTCAATCCAGTCAGAGTGGAGGGATACAAGAAGGGTGTTCTAAGGCAACATAGTTCCCAAAGAAAACTTTTTTTTTCAGATTTCCCACTATTTTACTATCATCAACATTATATATTAAACTCATAAGACATTTGTGGGTTCACTGGTGGTTTGGGATAGTAAATAAAATGGCCACATTTGTGTTGTGGACAGTGTGACCCCTGGTTCCCATCACCACCACTGTAAAGAAATCTGAAGTCTGTAAGTTTCTCTACAATGAACCATTTCACATAAAATCACTCCAATTAACTTTGTTTATATCTTAACCACTGAATTATGGAGACATTTTTTTAAGATCAGTGGAATTTCCCTTTAATTCAGACCTGGGGCCTCACTGCTCTGCACAGTTTCAACGGTTCCTTGTTCTAGTACAGATAATCAAACTCATGAAGGGTGTGGTGATCAGGTGATAAGCTGAATCAGATTTGCAGGTGTATGGACAATCTGAAGCTCTTCAGTGCAGTGGGTCCACAGGACCGGAGTTTTAAAAATACATGTTTTATCAGACTTGAAGTGGCAAAAGAAACAAGAGCAGGGCTTGGTGAAAGACTGGTCAGTCCACCAACGAGCGGATGCAGTGTGTCCGCCCTCCAACAGCTCTGAGAGTCAATCACAGTCTAGTTTCTTTTTCCTAGCTAGATGTGTTGAGCATAATCACTGATATACTCACTGCCTCCTTCCAGTCTTACTGCTCGGTAGTCAAGCATTTCCCATGTGGTGAAATTGGGAAAAAAGAACACCAGGACGCTCCCACACTGAGGTGAAGCAAAAAACGTGTCGACTGCAGTTTCTAAGTTACAAAAGAAGTTTCAAAGAAAGAAAAAAATCCAGGAAAAGCTAATAAGCTTCAAATATCAGCGAGGCAACTTACCGAGGCCCAAAAACAGAATGAAAAGACTGAAGACTCCGTTTTCTTTTTCCATGTTGAGAAGGCGCGTATTTTTCCTCCGGGCTCGTCTTTGTCAAACCAAACCGAGTAAAGCGCCGCGAGTCCTACTCGGAGATTTGTGGGCGCTCGAGTGAACGCGGGCTCTCTTCTCTCTCTTTTCTCTCCTCTCTCTCTTTTCTCTCCTCTCTCTCTTTTCTCTCCTCTCTCTCTTCTCGGGCTGTGAACTGCGCGCTAGTTTTCTGGGGGGAGCTGCTGTGTCCGCAGAGAAAACCCTTTTACAGCGAGAGCGTTTCAGAGGCGCAGCTGAGGAGGTGACTGTGAACATGTTTCATGACGATCACCTACAGAGGAGCGCGGGACGACCACCGCCGTGTCCGGAAGTGAGGGAGTCTCATTCCTGCCTTATTGGATAAGAAAAGACTCGAACCAAATGGATTTATATCCCACGCGTACTGGGGCAAGTCCCGCCTCCTGCGAGAGGAACTCTAGCTATGATTAGCTAAAATATTTCGCTTCCTGCGCCACGATTGGTCTGTTGTCGTCTGTCCTTCTACAAGGACTAGCAGCGTTTTTCTTTTGGTTTATCAGTCCTAACACAGAACATCTCCACATCCAGGCTCAGATTTAGACCTAAATAAACACTCAGAAACAGAGATCCTGAGTGGATAGGAGATAGGTGAATGCCGGTCCAGAGTTTGTGAAAATGACCGTACTACTCAGTCCTAGCACGGGAGGCGGGACTTGGCGCAATATAGGTGTGAAAAGAAATGTGTCCCTCTAATCGCCTCAGGTGAACTACAACTACCGCCCACCCCCACCACGCAACAGCGGCGAACTGTGACAGCACATACAGAAAAGAGGCACTAATTATCTCCCAGAATAACTCTGAACGTCTAGAGACTCTTTGCTCCTTTTAGCACAAGTCCAACTTTCATCCTCATTTCTCCGTTGAACATCATGCTTGTGACTCATTTATGTCAAGGGAAAAACTCCAAAGCGCCGGTTAGCGCGTCTTTTCATCTTTTAACGAATGAGAACAATGAAGGGGTTGCGCGCCGGAAAAGGGTTGGCAAAAAGACCACCACTGAGAAACTGGGTTACCCAGAACCCCTGGCACTGTTAGGAGAAGTGAGGGAGAGCTGTAGCCTACAACACCAGGAAGAGGAGTGTGGGGAGGCAGCTGGATCAGAGTTCAAGGGTCCATGTGGTTTGAGAGGAGCTTTGTGCACAGTTAATAGTTACTGAACTAGCTGAATATTTTGCCTCATGAGATCTCTCTCTCTCTCTCTCTCTCTCTCTCAGGCTGAGTGTAGTCATGTAGTGCTCATTGTTTTACACTGAGTCCATTATGTTGGCTACTGCCTCTCCCTGAATTACTGCAGTCGGAACAAACACGGCACACCCGCGAGACGTGCCCGCACAACAGAAAGGAGACTGCCTGAGCTGCTGACTACGTCTGCCCTGCCCACATGCACGCACTCTAACACATAGTCACTATGAGCAAATAAACTCCCGGTGTGTCCCACTTAGCACAGACAGAAAAGATCCATCTGCCATTGTACACAGATACCAAATTAGCATAAGCTGGGAGGGCGCAAAATAATGCATCTCATGAAAAGCAATCATAATTTGAATCTGAGTTAAAAGAAGAAAACAAACGCGCTGCAACATCATTTAACCAGGCAGGCTGAAAAAGAGCGCTGCTCTGTGGCTGCTCTTACCACTTAGCCTGTACAGATTCCACAGATAAATTCCTCTCTGGGGCAGTCTATCATAGGTCTTGCTGAATCACACAAAAATACATAGCCACACTGGCATAACTGGCAGACAGGGCAGTTGCACTGGGACCTGTAGTACGTACTTGGCCCCCAGATATCTGTATTGGATGCTACTTATGCATTTCACACCCATGACTCATCATAGCTACAATAATAATATACTTCAACCATTAGCTTACATTAGAATAGTAACATGGCTGATATGTAGCATTAAACAGGCAAATTACACAGTCCTGTAATTTTCATATGGAGGAGCCATTAAGTGTCTTGTTCTTGCCCTGGGCCCATAAGATCCTAGTTACATCATATTCACATGGGTGCTGTGTATGTGAGTGACTAGTAAAGGCTTCCGATTTGAATGATACCCAACTGACAGTGGTTTGAATTTGTCTTCCTGCGCTGTAGCTAGTACCACTAATCAAAATGAATACAGAACACATGAAAAAAAACCATAATATATGAAGTTACACACATACATATAAAGAAAATGTATGTAAATGTAATAGAGAGGATAATAGTCTATGTCTGGTAACATGTGCCAAACAATATCTGGTCATGGTTATTTTAGATATCAAAAGGCAAAATGTGTGATATGACCAAAGCACAGGTTTTAAGGTTTTGATATTATACCACAAAGCATTGATGAAATGACATATGAAGCTGTTTAAAGAGAATTGTATGTATTAATCATACAGGTACTTATTAACATTTTAAGAGAATACTTTTAGAATCCCTTCCCATTACATTAAAAAAATGCATATATTATCTTTATTATAAATATGATCAATGCTATTTTAAACCACTGTGTGTAAATGAACAGCATCTTTACAGACATTTAAGTTCAAGCTAAAGCCTGAGTAGACTGATAAATTAATGTGATGATCAGTTATTAATCTTAGTGTCACTGAGCTATTTTGAGAGATGAAGGAATTGAACTCAGTAATGAACATGTTCAGTAGTGCTAAGCTTGCATCAGTGTTGTTGGAGCATAATGCCATTAACTGAAAATCACAGCTAACCACTTCAGAGTCATGTTTGCTATATTTTGTTACTGGGATATGGAGAATTGTTTGCCTAGTTCATGAGAGAGCATTCGGATTGTGGGAGCAGCAGTGGACTAATGAGCCAAAATAATGTTGAGATATTTGTAACTTCTTTTAAAGTAGAAAACCAGTAACCAGTAAAAGCAAGGAACAGTGTGAATGAAATAAATATTACATCAGCAGAGTTTTTTACCGTCTGTCATCAAAATTTAATCTAAATGCATTTTAAATGTATTCTGAATATGTTACTTTCTATGTGTTGTAATGAAATACATTACTGAATACATTTAGCACAGTTTATTCAATATTCACTCATCACTGTTTTTTCAAACTATTCTGCCCCACCCTGAAAATATGTTTAAAGCTCCCTCTAGTGTCGAAGACCTGTGCTATCATTTGTTGATCTACACTGTGCAGTCTTCCAATGTGCAGTCTATCTTACAATACTAGTGTCTTGGGCGCATCACTAATTGTTCTGAAATCCAAAAGAAAGGAGGAACAAGTTTTCTCCAGCAGTACTTCCTCTCATCATAGCAGTGAGTCATTAATCAGTAGTGTGAATCAGAGTCCAGTCAGAACTTACAGAGAAACTGATCCACTGAGACATCTGAAACACAGCCATAGTCACTCACATTGGTTTGCTCATACTGTTCCATTGTGATGACCTTACTAGTTACAGAGGTCTTCCGTTCTGGACAGTTCATGGTTTCAAATGAGTGTCTGATGATTTGGATAATGTAGTTTGCATGATGTTCTTTGTATGGTATGTACTTCCTTCACTTATTAGCCTTATATGACATACCTGGAACAGTCTACAAGTACAGAGATCACAGCAAGAAATAATAGCAAGATATAGCTATAGATCTAGAACACGCAAAGCACTCTTTTAATATTAATGATGACAACTAGGTTCAGTAATTAGCTCAAAATTGAAAACAGTTATACAGTAACACAGTTATCTTCAGGAATGTACATGTACTATAGTGTGCTTTGTGATAACTGTATTTTAAAGCCTATTTAAGTGACATTAATTCTACAGGCATTATTGGTTCAAAGGGGAATTCCAGTGATTTTTCAAGATTTGTGCATAATTTAATGGTTAAAATGTAAACAAGGTCATTCAGAGTGGTCTGATGTGAAATGCTCTTTTCTAGAAATTTAAGTCAAAATTGTTCACAGCGGTGCAGAAGCCAAACCTCTGAAGTATTTACAACTACCCAACAGAAAGTCATCGCATGAAATAGTTATGATTACACTGCCTAAGATTGTTTTATGATAGTGTGGAGGTATGGTTTTGGCCTAAAACTTGTGTTGTAAAGTCTATTCATGTGGAGAGGTATATGCAGGATATTGTATGGCGAAATAGTTTCTAAAGAAATATATTATTTCAGATCTGCCAGTGTTTTACCATTATCAGCATTACATATTAAAGACAAGTGTGGGGTTTGCTAGTCGTTTTGGATCATAAATAAAACAGCTATAGTTGCATTGCAGGCATTGTAGCCCCTGGTTCCCATCACCAAAAAAGAAATCTGAATCAGTAAGTTTGACTACAATGCACCATTTCACATTAAATCACTGTGTATTTATATCTCAGAAATGTAGAAATGTTTAAAAAATGGTGGAATCCCCCTTTAAGCACACCAGCTAAGCCTCTTTGCTTTTGCCCTGCTTTTTGCAGGGGTGTCCAATCTTAAAAAACATAACATGTTAAAAAACATATATTTGCAGAGATGTTGTGTGTTGTCTCACACTGATGACGTTTATTTAGCCTACTCATGTAATGTTTTTATTTGTATGTTTATTGCTTATAATTTGAAAACGTTTGTTTCTTTGATTCTTCTTCTTTTTTCACTTATGTTTTATGACTTAAAGTGACATTACAGGCCCACTACAAACTACTGCCTCCCCAGAGTTCAGGCTTGCAGACAACTACAGGGTGCTTCGCAGTTGAGAAACCCTGACAGTACTGGTAGTACTGAGTTAAGTTTTCTCAGTTACATTAACTTAGGTACACTTTAAGTATAATTAATAAATACTGTGTCTTTTCTGAGCACTGTCTTCTCTTTATTTAACTTATCACCTTTATCAACCATCATCAGATAAAGCAGGAGCAGGCACGGACCATCCCATGGGTTTTACAGCAAACGCCTAGCACCCCCGCGAGCAATAACAAAATCAAAACTTAAGTAGAAGCACAGCTAAAAATGAACTAAAAATGAACTAATGTAACTAATTTCAACCCTGTATGCCCAGTCAGTCAAATTTCTGATGCACTTGACATCATTGCCAAATGCTTTTAATTTTTTCCCCCAATCAATACTTAGCAACTGTTTTCCCACTATCCGCCATTACCGTTTTTTTTTATTTGTTTTGTGTTGTGTTTATTTTCTGTGTGAATGTAGTTTGTAATTTAAAGGTCCAGATGTTCAAAAGAATTGTCTGGGGGATCTGTAGAAGTGAGACCAGATACCCATTTCCAAAGTCAAACAGAAAAAAACATCAGATGAGTTTAAACAAAAAATTGGCTGTGTTGTTGTGATCTGTGGTGATCTGCGAACTGTGTACTTTTGC